ATGGGCTATTTTTAGATTACCTCACCAAGACGTTTAAACTCTACTTAAATAAAAGACTCAGTAGATCTAAATATAACTCGATCATGCACTAATATTCTGTGTGATTGACAGAGCTGCATTACTGGTACTGGTACTGGTACTGCAGTACGTACTGCAGCAATTTTGCAAGTACTGGTACTGATACTGAATTACTCTTACAAAATTTTGCTACTACTGGTACTGGTACTGCATTACTGTCTTAAAAAGTGGTACTGCTACTGCATTACCCAGTACTTTTGGTTTTGATAGAAATTAAAAATAGCATCAATTTTCCTCATAAAATAAAGCTGTAAATTACATTAACTATATTTTATTTTTGTGAAAAAGTAAGTTATCAAATCTAAAGATAATTTGCTGCAATATTCCTTCAAATGTTAACATAGTATTCATCATAAAAAGCACCAAAGACTTTAAGTAAATAAACAGACTCAATTACTCTTTACCCTAAAATATCCTTATTAAAATCTTTTATTACTTTGTATTTACTAGTGTAACGTTTTTAAGGCACACAAACCCTGTCGGTGAAAAGCTAGCTCACCACCGAGAGTGGTTTGTGTCCTTATATACGGGAACTATTCCCTTCTGTTAATTCAACAACTTAAGTATTTGCATATTATCATGCTCATTATGACGTTCTACCAACGTCGTTACATTACTTTCCCCTCCGAGAAGTCTCGTCCCGAGACTTGGCCTGGGAAATCTTTGGGTACGGCAACTCCAGTCCGGCAGTTGTCTACATCCCCCACACTGGCCACCAAATGTAACGTTTTTAAGGCACACAAACCCTGTCGGTGAAAAGCTAGCTCACCACCGAGAGTGGTTTGTGTCCTTATATACAGGAACTATTCCCTTCTGTTAAGTCAACAACTTAAGTATTTGCATATTATCATGCTCATTATGACGTTCTACCAACGTCGTGTCATTACTTTCCCCTCCGAGACTTGACCTGGGAAATCTGTGGGTAGGGCAACTCCGGTCTGGCAGTTGTCTACATCCCCCCACACTGGCCACCAAATGTAACGTTTTTAAGGCACACAAACCCTGTCGGTGAAAAGCTAGCTCACCACCGAGAGTGGTTTGTGTCCTTATATACGGGAACTATTCCCTTCTGTTAATTCAACAACTTAAGTATTTGCATATTATCATGCTCATTATGACGTTCTACCAACGTCGTTACACTAGTAAAAGAGCAAAATAAACAGTAATTAATTTCTTCTATTCTAAATAATCCCATTTCAAGTGAAAAAAGTGACATTGGTAGCACCATAAAAAGTTGTCATTTACTTTGGTATAAATTGAACAGAGGTGTGAAAGGCAACAAAAGACTGTTGTGTTTTAAATGAAAGATGTTTGCGTTGTATTTATACACTTGACTGGTTACTAAACAATTAGATATGACATGAATATATGTTGTAAATATTGTTTGTAAAAAGTATGTTAAAACCATAAAGTTGTAAATATGTTATGTTAACTTTAAAGTAAATGATTTTATTTCTTTGCTGAATAATATTTGCAATTATTTGTTTGAGACTGTATTAATTCAAACTTAGATGAATATATAAAAGTAATGGTACTGATACTTAATTACTTCACCAAAAAAAGTACTGGGACTGCAGTACCGAGCTAAAATCTAGTACTGGTACTGGTAATGGTACTGCATAATTTGCCAAGTACTGGTACTGGTACTTAAGTACTACACCCTTAGTACTGATGCAGCTCTGGTGATTGACCGCCCTTTGGAGACGGAATACTACTATAGTAACCATTCTCTATTGTATAAAACTAATAAAGACAAAAACCAATTATAAAAGAAACTAACTTTTGCGTCTTGAAAAAGAATTGAAAAGGAACAATTTCGTTTATAATTTATTTCTTCCTTCTACCGATAAATCAAGTAAAAATAGAAATCCTATTTATATAAACAAACTGGGATTACCGAAGTAACTAAAATAGCTTAGATTTCCGTAATATTACTTTGTCTGATTCCGCAGTATAACGGAATCGCCCGAATTCTCACGATTGCAATCGGAACTGCCTCGGCTATTATTATTAATCCGAAGAGTGACGGAAAGGGCCGAAAAGTTGCGATTGCCACAATGATAGATTGGTTTCCCGTTCAATCATGCACTAACAAATGTAAGCAGGAAACCACCTGACCGGAACAACTTTTCCAAAACAAATGGCTTGGCTGCAAGCCAAAAAGAATAGCTATGTCTGTCGCCAATTGACATGCTTGTTTTATTCCTGATCCCTGATCAAATTGAGAAATTCAGGTTTATAATCACATGAATGTTTAAGCTGATATAATTCTCTAAAACATTTTTGGTTGTAGTCTTAGGACAAAATATTAAGAATTGCAAAGCATTAAAATTTAACAAAAGGGCAATAACTCTTAAAAAATGAGGTGGAGGGTTGTCAATCTTACTTAATGTCTCTAAAGCTTTATGAAAAAATATTTCTGGCCAAATATTTAGCATGGATAAGCTTGAGCACTGCATGCAGTGTTTAAACGCTTGTCACGTGCAACTATCAATGACCAATTTTTCGACCAACTATAAAAAAGACGTATATTGTTACAGTCATGTCATCTTTGCCGTAGCAGTTGCCATTTCTGTTGCCATCCGCAAACTTTAACCTTGATCATTACTTTTTAAGTTCTTGGTGAATTGTCTTCATACTCGGCCATAACAACACTTAGGGAAAGACCTTCAAGTAGACCAGACTAAACTTGACCTTCATTCATAAATGACCTTGACCTTCAAGGTTAAATGTCTAAATTTTGCTTGTTTTCTGCTATTAGTGGCTTTAACTTTGTTATTTTCGAATGGAATGTCTTCAAACTGGAACACAACAATTAATACTTTAGCGTAGACCCTCAAGTTAACCAGAGATACCTTCACTCATAAATGACCTTGACATTGAAGGTCAAATTATCGAAATTTTCATGTTTTTGCTGTAACTGGATATAACTTTGTTATTATATATTGAATGGATTGACATCATATTATAACAGCTAGAACAATCTTTTGAATAAGACCTCCATGTATAATATCAAACTCAAATTGACCTTGAGTCATGTATGACTTGGACTTTGAAGGTTATATTATTGAATGCTTAAATTGACAGTAACTTTGTTTTTATAAATGAATAATCTTCATACTTTGACAAAACAACATTTTCGACAAGACCTTTTAAAAGATTGAACTGATCTTGATCTTCAGGTTTAAATGACCTTGACTGTCAAGGTCAAATTATGAATTTTGGTTAAATTTTCATAATTTTGTTGGACAAAAGAAAACTTGCTACCAGACATATTGAATAATTAGATGTGACATTGACCTTAAGTTGACCTTCACTTTCAAGGTCAAATTGATGAAACTATCTTGTTTTTCTTTAACTGGCTATAACTTTGTCATTTATAAATGGATTAACTTCATATTAATACACAACATATTTTAGGTCAGGACTTTCACGTATATCAAACTTAATTTGACATTGACCCATCTATGACCTTGACCTTTTAGATCAAATTATTTTATTTCCACTGATTATCGCTAAATTTGGCTGTACTTTGGAAATTAATCAATGGATTATGTTCATACTTTGACAAGCCTTTTTGACAAGGTTCAACTGACCTTGACCTTTAAATGACTTGACCATCAAGGTCAAAGTATTGAATTTTGTTTAAATTGTCATTATTTGTTATAAATGTACGAATTTTATTAATATTCTGACAAAACAACACTTATGTGACCAAACAAATATTTGGAATAATTTAGATATGACCTTGATCTTCAAATACCTTGACTATCAAATACATGTAATTGAATTTTCATCATATTTTCTTAATTCAAATTGTCATTTATTTACAGAAAGGATTCATACTTGGACGAAACAATTAACATGTGTAAGTTAAAAATAACAAAGGGCAATGTTATGATATCAAGATCAGCTAACTCTTTACATGTTTATTCAAACAGGTAATTGCATTACTTCCCTTTACTTGATATTCATTAATGCTATGTTATATATATATGATAAAGCCTCTCCGATACCTGGACATACTCACTTGAGCTCTGGTATTAGCAACATGTATTAAATAGTCATAATAAATAGTTTGAATCTCATTATCATCCATACAACATAACAGGCAATATCTAAAATTTATGAAACTAAGAGTTATCATGAAGTTTTAAGTATGAAAAATTAAGAAAAGACAGTAACTTGGAAGTTATGAAAGGTACAGTTATTGTTCTAATGTGCAATGCACTTCTCCTCAAAGAGATCTATAACTACCTATGAACTTCCAAGTTAATATTTCAAATACCTTTCAAGTTATGCTCTAGACAATTGTTGAACAACAAATGTCGCCAGATGATAGCCAATTGCATGTCGCAGCTTCTGAGTAGCAGGAGACACAAAAATTGCTCACATTCATGCTTAAGTAGACTTGGAATTGATCATTCCTGTAAAGTTTGGATAAAATTGAAGGAGTTCTCCGGACAAGTATGTGACAGATGGACAGACAGACAACGGAGAAGTGATTCTTTATCTGTAGCAGGAACACAAGAATGTGGGACAGAGGAATGGACATACAAAAGAACAAACAGATACTATAACCTTATCACCACCAAAACCCCTGCCTTTCTGTGATAGATAATTAGCCTGTGAAGACATGTTAACATAAATATTTAAGATAAAATAATTGATTTTAAGGTTTGGAGGAGATAGTGTGCGAAAAGAAAGTCACCAGCTATTACGTTTGCAGCCATTCAACACTTTTCAACACTTGATAATTCTATGCACCAACATGATACATATCGTTACCTTATAGTATAGTAACTCCTATAAAATTATAGAAGGAGTTAAACCTCTTATTGCACTAAGGTGATGCTACATGAAAGATACTACATTTTGGGATGGGAATAGAGAAAATAAATAATGAAAACAAACTTCTGATGAAATATTCATAAGTGTATTTGATTTGATTGTACAATATTTCTTTATTGTTTCAATTCCACATGATGTAAACAACAGCTAGCAAAATATAAATACTGAACAACTTCAAACAATACATTTAGAATGCTCTATGAAGCGCTGAAACTAATCTGGGACATAATACAATGGGACATAAGAGCAGCGTCATGACAAAAACCAACATAATGGTTTTGCGACCAGCATGGATCCAGATCAGCCTGTGCATCCGCGCAGTCTGATCAGGATCCATGCTGTTCGCTATCAGTTCCTCTACTTGTAATAGAGTTTGTAAGCGAACAGCATGGATCCAGATCAGACTGTGCGGATGTGCAGGCTGGTCTGGATCCATGCTGGTCGCAAAAAACACTATGCTGGTTTTGTCGTGACACAGCTCAATTAATATAATGGGACAAGCAACAACCAACTAGATGACTTCATAAGGAATCTAATGTTGGCGTCCATTATTGATAGTTGATCCATCAATTATAGTGTACCGTATTTTGATCACATATTATGCAATTAATTATAAATAATTACATATATAAATTTTCATAACAACATATTTTAAGACCAGACAGGCATGTAAAAGGACATGTTTAAATTTTACACCAATGAGCTTATAATTCTCTTCTTTACACCATTTGCTACAGACCCAAAAATACTCATTCACAATGATCAACAACAAATTGGTGGTGTGCGCGCCTCATTGATGGAAAAGACCTATTGGAACTTATATACAGTAATTTATTTCCCATTACATTATGTCCCAGAACTTATCAAACCTGTATTTTAAAATAACCAACATAATAATACAAACACTAACACCAGTTAAAGTTTAAAAGTGAAATCTATACCATTAAGATACCGCATTTCATTCTCTTTTTAAAGGAACTCGACTGATGTCCTTAAGCATAAAACATAAAATTTGAATTTCTTATATACATCAGCTAGGGCACATAAAACAGAAGTATGTGCAAATATACTCTGAAAAATAAATGGAAAATTGTATTTTTGTCCTATTTTTAGCCCGATTTCCGGATCATTTTTTCATAATTAGAATAATTTTTCTGGAAAAAACGAGCGAATGATCAGAAATTTTGCATATAAGTTATTGGGCTTGACCTACATCAAATGGAACAAGTGGAGTCCCTTTAATGATAATACAGATTTTTTTTAGATAATCCTTTGTTGAATTATATGTATACAAAATTCTTTTCAAGAAAAGAACTTCGCTTAATACATGTATGTTTAAATACATAAATAATAATGTAAGCAAAATGCTATAAATGGCATACATGTATTTATTGTAAGCTATCGACAGGAAGTTGCAGCTTATTTATAGTAGTGATCTGCTAAATTTTGATAGTTTAAAAGGTAGGTTAAAACCTCTAAAATTAAAACTGCACTGCGAGTCTATAGCACAAAATGAAGGTTCATTAGGTACATTGAGTTAACTTATTTTTTTATGAAGGAGTGCCTCAGTGTGACAAATTTTAAGTCTTTTTATATAGTTTCATTATGTAAATATGAAATTCACTAATGATTACTTTCAACCTTTGGCCATAATTGTGCAACATCCTTTAAAAAGAAGGCACACATTGAATAAAAAAAAAAGTTTATTGTTTGTATAGGTATCAAATGTATATATAATCTATAGAAACAAAACTTATGACATGTAAACATCTAATTTGAGCACTGACTTTAAATGCCACCTATGCTTATAATGCCACAACTTTTAGATTTGAAAAAAAAAACAGTCAAACTAGTTCAGAAGACCATTATTTTTTAATTGGATTAAAAGCCAACAAATGCAAAAAAAGTCCTAAATGTTAAACTAAGCCACACAAAAATTACACCTTTAACTAGGATTGTTGTATATAGCCTGTATTGTCAGATAACATGCATTGTAACATTGTGATCATTAGACACGAAGTTTGACTGTACCTTGAGAAATGTCCCAGAATGAATAATCCTTAACCTGCTGAATTTCTTACTTGTCTAGCTTCCATGATTGAACTATTTATTATTACTTTTTGGAATATAAAGATGAAATTTTAAATCTAGTCATCCCAAAGAAACGAGCCTGGGCAGACTGCATGGAAGTGCAGGCCAGCCTGGCTTTATACTAGTAGCAAAAGCTTATCACTTTTGGTTCCAGCAAGGTAAGGGCTTATAAAATAACCATATTAATTCAATTTAAAATGAATGAAGAAATTCTATGCATGTAACAATGAGTTATTCACTATATGCATCATTAAAGAACTAAGAACTAACACCAAAAATTAGTTATTATAAGATGATAAACTAAAACAATAAATAAAATCATGCCAAAATCTACAATTATACTTTAATATTTAAATAAGTTTTATTTTCACTTAAGCATTTCTCTTCTGCCAATTATTCTTTGGTTCATTAAAGAAGCTTTTCATAGCAATTGACTACGGTACTAAAACTAATTTACATTAATAGTCAAAATTTAATAAGGACTTTAAAAAGTTTCTGATAAATTTGTATTGATTTTGTATTTATACATTAAATAGAATGCCTCTAACTGAAAATACCATGCAACCACCATGCAACAACTGCAGACCATGATCTATGCTATCTGATCATTGCACTGTTAAAAATTCAGTTACTACTTATTTTGGAATTTTCCCTAAAAATGATAAAAGTTTTTTGTTTTTTTTATCAAGATTGAAAAACAGATCTGATATTAATATTTGAGATTCTTTAAAATTTACATGATGGTGAAAACAGATCAGATAGATATGACACATTATTTAGAGATTCTCTTTCTTATTGCAAAAACAACTTACTTGAAAATGAAACAAGGCAGTTTTAAGGATGGCTATATCCCCTGCCATAGTATAATTTTTAACCCCACACCCCCAGACAACCTTGAAAGAAGCAATCTGGTTTTTGAGATCCGCAAATATCTCATAATGTTTATCATTAGTTCAAGTGACTTTAAAAACTTTAATTCCCTCCCTGCTATGTGTCAGGAGATTAATAATGTTCAAACTCATACCAATTTAAGAGATTAAAATTTAGTAAAGATTGATGATAAAAAAGTGCATGCATTGACTAACTAAAGAGAGTTTAACAACCATAATTCTTTTAATATTTTGTTTCATAATACATAGTGGAAATTGTATACATATTATACCATGGGTTTATACAATGACCTGCCATAAGAGACACAAATTCCTTTTTATCTCAGGACATTAATATTGTCTATCCTTACTACTTGATACATTTCATTTTTCAGTTTCCAAATTAAGTTTTGTATGTCATTTTATCATAGTCAAACTCATCTTAAAGTGAATTGGTCTATAATATTGGGTATGTAAAACAATAAATAATTATGTTGATAGTATTTAGTAGTGGAAATTACAACAAACCAGGAAAAAATTATGTAGTGAGATACTTTACCCGATTTCACAAATAAAGTGTTGTTCTAGAACAAAATATTATTGCTCATCATATAAAATTTAATGTTCATAATAAACATAATAAAATCACATTAAACTTTATTCTAACACGACCCGCATTTTTCCCTATTGAACATAGAAGAACCGAAAGTGTGTGTTATTATGCTATAAAATCACTGTTTGACGTTCTATATTTAGACATGTGACGTAATCATTATACACGTGACGTAACCACTAAAAATGTGACGCGCTGACAATAAGTACGGAAACAAATCAGGCGCAATTAAGCTAATTATAATGTACGGCAGCATTTATTTGTTGATGTCGTGTTAGAATCGAAATAATATATCCAAATCGGTGATTTTATTGCTTGATAACATCACTGTTTGTCGTTCGGATGCGCATCATTATATCACTCGGGCTACGCCCTCGTGATATAATTCCTCGCATCCGAACTCCAAACAGTGATGTTATTGAGCAATAAAATCACAGTTTGGGATATATTATTTCTTAATCAACATTTCACTTTCATTTCAAGCATTACTTTTTGGGAATATCCAAGTGAACTATTCCTATTGTTTTTATCCATATTTGAAATCCTTACGGAAAATGTTACGATTGTAGATCAATCCTCTTTAGGTTAATGAAACATAAATACCATAATACACCAAGGAAAGCACACAAGACTGTAGGGTTTGACAAAAAATAGGAAACTCAACTAGTTCTGGTTTTGGAGACAATATTATTTATTAATAATTAAAAAAGAAAATGACTTATGAAATTGCATAGATTAGAGCAAAAGTTTAATAAATATATCTTCTGACATATATGATATCACATGTATATATATAATCTGTATCATATATACACACAGAGCAATCATTTATCATTTAACAACATTACATCACTAACAAACTATTTACAATGTCAATATGAGATACAACATTAAAAACTCACAAAAATAACAGTTAGAAATATTTTCTAAGACTTTAGTCAAATTCTTTACATCCCATGGTTAAAAAGTTAAAAAATATGAACCAGTCTATGATGGCAACACTGTCATTGGCCAATTTCAAACATGAGCAAACAAGCAACCAATCAGATGCTGCATAATTAGACTGGTCTTGAAATTTACACGTAAGGAGAAGTAAAGGCCCCTCATCCAGTATTCAAAAGGCAAACTTGGTGAAAACAAAGTTACCTTTCAGCTTGCTTAAGTGCTTTAATAATGACAAATTAAATAATGCTTCAAAATTCATATTCTATTTATTTTTTGATTCATAATTTAAAATTATTTATGCCAAATTAACACTCATTAGATTAGGACAGATAATTACTGAAGGACTGAAGCAATCCTATACAGCATTATTTTTATTTGCTGCCAAAATATTTTTGAAACAAAGTTAAGACTAGAAATACACGAAAAATATCTTTGACAAAACATAACACAAATTCATAGAAAAAATCAGCTGCATAAGTACTTTATTCGTTCTTGCATAACTGAACAAACTTGTGATTGTTTAATATCTAAAACAATATTTTGTACTAGTAATTCAATTTTTTTAAATGAGCATATAAAACTTAAAACCGTAACATTTCGAGGTGGGAGTTTTCAGAGACACAAGCAAGCAACAGAAATAGAACTGTAAACATAGTAGACGACAGCTTGTATAATATTATGTCAAAATATAATCCAAAGTTTAATTTTTCTCTGTTTGGCTGGGTGCAAACACATTATGGAGTAGAGGTGCCTTCAATTTAAAACAGTCTGTTATTTTTCCCCAAATAGTCTTATTTTTCCCCCAAGTAGTGGTGACACTGATGTTTTTGAGCAATTTATTTTAATTAAAACAAAGGTAGTCTGAAACTTGAACCCAATGATTTAAAAGATTGAAAATGAAATCTTAAAAAACAAACATATATCAATCATTAAGCTTAAAACAAATGAACCAAGTTGTAAACAGTATATGCCCAAACTTCTAACAAATGATATGTAGACATCATGTAAAAATAATTTAAAGCAGCACTCCACCGTGAATTACCAAAATAAAAAAAATATGTGAAAAAAAAAGCCCTTACTGCATTTAGTCATGCAGTAGAAATACAGTAATAATTAATGCAAAATCATTTATTAATTGCACATAACATCTAAATTATTCCTTAAATCTTATTACTTTTCTTAAAATCTTAGTACTTTTTCTCAAGTTTGATTACCTTGAAAAATATTTGTGCTCATCTGGAAGCATGCATATTTAAAACACACTTAAATGTAGTTATTCAAAATGCTTCTACTTAATTTAGCAATTAGACAACAACCATTTCAATTTATTTCTAAAATGTTTGATAAATGGCATCCAAGACAATCATTTTGAACACAAATATATTTTTCTACAGTAACTGTGATTTTCAAATAATTTCAAATATTTAGTATTTGGAAATGCTACTTTGCATATGTATAAAGGTTTAAAGAAAATAAACAAAGAAAATAAAAACTGAATTTTTAATGACAAACTAAAATCTAACATAAAATATATATTGATACTTGTCCAGAAATATAGAATATGACAACATTCTGTAAAATAGAACAAATATAACAAATAAATTGTATCTTTAATATAAAGCTTAACAATACTTTAACAGACATTTCTGATTCACATCTTCAAATAACTAAATAAACATAAAACAAAATAAAAAGTAAAAACACTTGAGAGGATGCTGCCTGCGTTGTAAATATAAGCTGTGTTTTGAAAGGCAGTCACTGATTGGTCAAAGCAAGTCATGTGATTGTATTTCCTGGTCCCACAAAGATGATTGGTTGATGAAAACTAATGAAAGTCCAGTAGTAGTATATATATATAAAATGTATATACATGTCCCTAATGGTATGAACATCTTTAATTTAGGTGAACTTTAAGTAAACTGCGCGGCTGATCTACCTGTAATAGAAAGAAAACATGCATAATAAAAGATACATTAATTTTAGGAGAAAAAAATCTATCTATCAGTTACATAAAGCATGATGGGTATAAGTTGCTCACCAGCATAATTTGTATTACATATAAAAGCAAATTTATCGATATGAACTTTTTAAAAATATTATCATTAAAGAAGTCCAATTTTTATAAAAAAATAACTAATTAGCTCCCTTATGGAGCCAAAGTCTTTAAATTGAGTGATGACAGTCTGATGGCCAGTTTGAATGGGAAATGGAAGAGCTACCAGAGTTAGAACAGCTCTTCTGGACTGTTCATTTGGTAGCCTTCTATTTTTAGAAGCTCTTCTATCTATTCCACCCATTAGACAGAAGACTTGGAAGAGGTAAAAGTCACAAGATCAAGCATTACTGACAAGGATTGCGAGTAAAATAAAAACATTTTAATACTGCGGTTGTTTACATTTTTACTTTTTTCTGATTGAGAAAATAAATATTTTATCACAAATCAAGCACAAAGTCATTTGAGCTGCGTCATGACAAAACCAACATAATGGGTTTGCGACCAGCAAGGATCCAGACCAGCCTGCGCATCCACGCAGTCTGATCAGGATCAATGCTGGTCGCTTACATACCCTATAACAAGTCAAGAAACTGATAGCGAACAGCATTGATCCTGATCAGACTGCGCAGATGCGCAGGCTGGTCTGGATCCATGCTGGTCGCAAACCCATTATGTTGGTTTTTTCATGATGCGGCTTATTTATTATTAAGGTCAAAATAGTTTGACTAGACATCATTTTGAAATGACTGTCTAATGTTCGATCGGTTGGCCTTCTTTTCAGAGGTCTTCTTAACTTGCCAATTCTCTAGCTAGAAGAACCCAATCGAATTAGATTTAAAATCAGATATATGTACCAAGCATTTATTAACCTTCCATATCCCTGGTCATTCCAGAAATCAATGTACACTATTTTAAATGAGTTATGGCTGTTCCAAACTTATATATATTTATAATTTAGTCAATAACAATAAGTTTTTTTATATTCAATTACCCTGCCCCTTGAATTGGAACTTTTAGTGACCTACATAGTGAGGTATTGTTTCAAATAGGAAAACATTGATGGAAAAAGCTTACACATTAAATTACAACAATACCCTTCTTAAAGGCACCATTATTTCAAAAGAGAATTCATGAAATCAGTAAAAATCAATCTGTGCTTTCTTTTAATTTTACCTGATTACTAATTTAATGTATGGAAAATGGATTTAAACTGTTAAATGATAATGAAAAGAAATTGCTAATTGCTGGTTGTCATTGAGTACAAGCTGTTCAAGAACCTGGCAAAGAATGTCCATATTAATAATTATATTTTATTATTACTAATTATAATTTATTATTAATAATTATATTTTATTATTAATAATTATATTTATTTATAACAAGACAATGTTGTTAAACAAGAGCTGTCGGTAGGACAGCACGCTCGACTATTCTAAGTGCTTGATAGTAAAAGAGCCTTGATAATGTTAAATTTTCTAAGTTCACAAAAGGGCTAATCTTTTTTTATAAATTCATGTTATAGGCCTTCGAGAGAGTCTAATTATACAGTATTGGCTTGACTATTTGGAAGGTAATGTCACAAGGGTGTTTTATTGAGTATAATAATACTAATTACCTATGAATACATAAAATTGACAGAAAAGGTACAAAGGCTTGTAATTAAGATGTTTTATCAAGTAAATCACTGCTTTATTATTATGAATGCATAAAATTGTCCCAAAAAAGGCACAAACCCTTCAGTAGTTATGGAGATAACAGCTTACAAGCAAAACTTTACCATGAATATTTTAAGTTGAAAAAGGGAAGAAAAATCAGCCTAAATGCAAGATAGAATTATGGATCTTTGTCAGTGACCTACAATTCTGACCCTAAATGCATATGGGAAGTTTTAAATAAATATCTTTAATAGTTATTGAGATGTGTAAAACTTGCATGTTAACATTAACCAAGAGACTAAGTAGAAAAGGGGATATGAATCAGCCTTAATGCAAGATAGAGTTATGGAACTTGGTCAGTGACATACAATTATGACCCTCAAATTATTACCCTAAGTACATGTGTAAAGTTTCAAGTAAATATCTTTGAAGACCTTTAACCTTTAACCAAAATCTCTAAGTTTCAAAGGGGCAAATAATTCTGCAAATATTGCAGACAGAGTTATGCAATTTTGCAAAATGATGTACATTGTTACTATAAAAAAGTATTGTAAATTTCAATTGAATATCTCAAGCAATAATTGAGATATTTGACTTTACAAAAAAACTTTAACCAAAATTTCTAAGTTTCAAAGGGGCATAATTCTGTCAATATTGTAGGCAGAGTTATCCAACATGTCAATCTTATGAACCTTGTTACTATAAATAAGTATTGTAAGTTTCAATTGAATATCTCAAGCAATAATTGAGATATTTGACTTTACAAAAACTTTAACCAAAATTTCTAAGTTTCAAAGGGGCATAATTCTGTCAATATTGTAGGCAGAGTTATCCAACATGTCAATCTTATGAACCTTGTTACTATAAATAAGTATTGTAAGTTTCAATTGAATATCTCAAGCAATAATTGAGATATTTGACTTTACAAAAAACTTTAACCAACGTCGACGCGGATGCTGACGCCGGGGCGACTACAATAGCTCTCATATTCTTCGAATAGTCGAGCTAAAAATTAGTAACTTTAACCCATAACCTGCTGGAATTGAAAATGATTAGCCTTTGCCACCAGTATAGAACAAGGCCAGCCTGAACATCTGTGCAGTCTGACCAGGCTCTATACTGTTGGTAGCTCAGTTTTTGTATTTTGATATTGAAAACCCTATAGACTTTAAATAGACTGTTCCAAATTGGAAGTAGGACAAAACCATTCAGCAGATTATGGGTATGATATCTTAAAAAAAAAAAAGAATTTTTTTTTAGTGCATGTATTTATGGATTGAACAATTCAAAATTTAACTGTAATGCAAGTTATTTTATCCCATCCACAGCCCTAAATCTGCATTATGCCCTCAACCTACATAATACCCAAAGAGGAAATTAAACAAATTTAAAATGAAACTTCAAAAAAAATTGCGAAGATTGGAGAAAAAAAAAGCATTGTTTATCCGAAAAATTTAACATGATTATAATTTTTATAACATACAGCAGGCATGCAAATGGTTTAAATTAAATTTCTAGCTCAAAAGGAATAGGCTGAATAACACAAAGCGCTAAGGGAATTAACTATACATGGATTATACAACTGTACATACTATATGTATATTAACATAATAGATCAATGATATATTTTAAGAATATGACAGTAGACAAAAACATAAGCACTTCAAGTGTTGTGGACAATGTTAAAAGACAGATGCTAACAGTACAATAACACGTGCCTTCATTATAGTCATGTGACCTATAGTACCAAGATAGTCATACCAGCCTGATCATCAGTTAACACAAACCTGTGACCATCACCAGCAGTGCGGTTATTCACTCTCACAAATCTGTAACCAATGCCACAAGTACAGTCATGCAAGTCTACAAATTTGTTACCTATGTCACCAGGCAAGTCTACAAATTAGTTACCTATTTCACCAGTACAGTCAGGCAAGTCTACAAATTAGTTACCTATGTCACCAGGCAAGTCTACAAATTAGTTACCTATGACACCAGTACAGTCAGGACAGTCTACAAATTAGTAACCTATTTCACCAGTACAGCCAGGCAAGTCTATAAATTAGTTACCTATGTCACCAGTACAGTCAGATCAAACTACAAATTAGTTACTTATTTCACCAGTACAGTCAGGCAAGTCTATAAATTTGTTACCTATTTCACCAGTACAGTCAGGCAAGTCTACAAATTAGTTACCTATGTCACCAGTACAGTCAGGCCAGTCTACAAATTAGTTACCTATGTCACCAGTACAGTCAGGCCAGTCTACAAATTAGTTACCTATGTCACCAGTACAGTCAGGCCAGTCTACAAATTAGTTACCTATGTCACCAGTACAGTCAGGCCAGCCTACAAATTAGTCACCTATGTCACCAGTACAGTCAGGACAGTCTACAAATTAGTTACCTATATGTCACCAGTAGAATCAGGACAGTCTACAAATTAGTTACCTATGTCACCAGTAGAATCAGGAAAGTTTACAAATTAGTTACCTATGTCACCAGTACAGTCAGGCCAGTCTACAAATTAGTTACCTATGTCACCAGTATAGTCAGGCCAGTCTACAAATTAGTTACCTATGTCACCAGTACAATCAGGCCAGCCTACAAATTAGTTACCTATGTCACCAGTACAGTCAGACCAGTCTACAAATTAGTTACCTATGTCACCACTACAGTCAGACTAGCCTACATGTCATTGCATTCTCTTTATACACTGTTTTGTTGGCTACCCAATATTTTCATATTGAAAACCAGCCAAATAGCTCATGAACACCTTCATAACAAAAGAGGTCCACAAAACAAATTCAGTGTATTTTTTTAACAAAAACATACTTTTTTTTGACAAAACAGTTATGTAGTGATAAAATAGAAGACACACAAACCAAAGAAAATGTAATACACACAACAAAGGGAGACAATATAGCATGACTCTTACATGAAGCAGGGGAGATTACTCCACAGTAACACTCTTTGCTAGGTTTCTTGGGCAGTCAACCTATAAATATAACCATAATTATAACTATAAAGAAATATTTTGCAATAAATAATAGAAAGCTTTGAATTTTTACATGATTTAGGAACAAAACTTATAAGGAAACTAAATGCTGAAGAAAAGTAATTTATAATCAGATAGCATGTTCAATACACCTTTATAGGTAAAAAAGTGGAATTTTGATTATTAATTTATTTGTCTGTTTTCTTATTAATATGAAATTATAATGGTAAAATCTTGTAAGTTTATTAATAATAAATTTACGATTTAAAGATTCAAGTTTATCATAAGTCTACACCAATCAGAGTGTCATCAAACAAGGATTTTTGTAACTATGTTTGTTTTTTCTTTAGCATTGATTACAAAATTGATGATTCTTTGATGATTGTCAAAAACGCTTCTTTGATAACACTTTAATAAACATTTTGAAAAATCATTTTCATTTACACTCTTCACTAAGTTATCTTCTACAGCTGGGTTTGTAATGGTGATTTTACATTTTACTACAGTGAACTAGTATTGGGTGGGAGGTTGCAGTACTGGTACCTGATATATTCCTTTATGATTACTTTGTTAATAAGAGCTGGTACCCGGTATATTCCTTTAGGATAACTTTGTTAATAAGAGCTGGTACCCAATATATTCCTTAATGATAACTTTGTTAATAAGAGCTGGTACCTGATATATTCCTTACTGATAACATTGTTAATAAGAGCTGGTACCTAATATATTCCTTAAAGATCACTTTGTTAATCAGAGCTGGTACCCAATATATTCCTTAATGATAACTTTGTTAATCAGAGCTGGTACCCGATATATTCCTTAATGATAACTTTGTTAATTAGAGCTGGTACCCAATATATTCCTTAATGATAACTTTGTTAATTAGATCTGGTACCCGATATATTCCTTTATGATCACTTTGTTAATTGGACTATAATTATAAAAAATACGTATGAATTTCACATGGTTACAACCAGATAACTTAAAATGAGCCAGCCAAATAACAGAAATGTCATTTTTTCAACCAAATTACTGAAACATACTTTTTTCAACCAAATTACTGAAGCATACTTTATCAACCAAATAAATTACTGAAAAGTTAAATTTGCTTTCCCTTACCAAATAACTAAAATGTGTAATTTCCCAAAATTACTTTTCAGACTTAATGTACTATTTCAACCAAATTAGTGATATGCATTTTTCTTTTCAACCAAATAACCAAAATGTGTAGATTTTTTAATAACCAAATTACAGAAATTTACTTTTTCATTTCAGCCAAATTATGCAAATTTGCAACTAAATTAAAGAAGCGCAACTGAATTTTTTTTTCCTATAATGGGAACCTTTCAATGGAAATGTAAATTTTCTGCTAAATTACAAATATATTTTTCTACTATATTTTTAAATTTTTTTTGCGGGGTGGTAGTGGTGGTGGTGGTGGGGGGTTTACATCGTTTCAACAAAGTATAGGTCATGTGGCAACTTTCCAGCTTAAGTGGTAAAGGAAGACCTCACATGGCCTTCCATGCATTATTTCAGACACGAACAGGCACCTGAGTAGAACCACCGACGTTACGTAAGCTAGCTAGATAGCTTCCTCACATGAAAGAATCCAGAGTCCCTGTCACAATTGAAACCCATATTGTGGTGAGGGGCAAATGGCTTGTCAGAATATATTTTATAGCAAATAATGGAAAAATATTTTCCAATTTATGAATGGAAATGTACATTTCGATAAAATTTTAAGAAATACATGTTTTAGCAGTCTAAAATGAGCTTGTTAGCTGAATTATAGAATTGAACTTTTCAATAAAATGATTGAAAATGTTGTTTTTTCCCTGACAAATGATGGAAATTAATGTACTTTTCAGATAAATTAAAAAATGTTAAAAGATTAATGAGTCATTGTACATTAAAAATAATTTTACTTAAAAATAGTACTAGTAGATTAATTAATTGTCCATTAATTCAATGTTAGACAATGGCTATAAAGTTGCACAATATGTCTACAATGTAATGTCATATTAAAATGATATTTTAGCCGTGTCATGACAAAACCAACATAATGGGTTTGCGACCAGCATGGATCCAGACCATGCGCAGTCTGATCAGGATCCATGCTGTTCGCTTAAAAACCCTATAAGTAGAGAAACTGATAGCGAACAGTATGGATCCCGATCAGACTGCGTGGATGACCAGGCTGGTCTGGATCCATGCTGGTCGTAAACCCATTATGTTGGTTTTGTCATGACACGGCTCATTTAAAGATGTGAAAATTAATTAATTTCTTTCAAGTATGTATCCTGTATACAGAACAAACATCTAATTCAACACACACAAAAAAAAGAAATGACATTAACTTCATTAAAACACATACAAATGTCTGAAATCTAGAACAGAAGTGAAACCTCAACCAAAACAAAGAAAATCACCTCCTCATCCAGAGCAAGAACGAACTCTAGAGAAATTAAACAGTTTCGTAAAGAGACTTTTGAAACATCATTTAAGTAATACAATTTGATGTAAAATGATTTGTGGATATGGGATAAAGCAAAAACATTCTTTTCTTTTAAAGTTTACTTTACCTGAATAGCCTAAGACACAAAATTACTATGGTTTTTATCAAGGACCAGGTTCAACGTTATTTGAGTTTTAAAAGCTGTCCTGCCATTGGTCAAATTTAAAGTTTTGCGCTTAAAACCAACCAATAAAAATAAGTATACTTTACAACAGACTGATTTCCAATATTACTTTTATTTATTTTTGACCTTAGACCAAAAATAAGCCTTTTTATTACTCAGTCCAGAGATTTATTTCAACAAAAACCTACCTTTTTTCATGCATTGTTTTTTTTTTCTCGGAAAAAATTACTTTAAAAAATATTCTTACATCATATCCTCTGAGAACAGCTATATGAAATGAGAGCAGTTGCATTGGGATCACTGTAAGTACTCCTTGAAGGCAGTCAACTGTATGGGGGACCCCAATGCACTTATACCCATACTTGGACGTCTCGTCATCTCCAGAATTACAAACTAAGATTGGACGACCCTAGAAATAAGAGTAACCGTATAGGGACAGAGCTAAAGAACACTGAGATAATCATAGTTTGCAGGACGGGTTGTCAACTCTAGAAAGCACTGCATAAGTGACACAGTCTAGCTGGATATGTGTATGAAGACTGGTTCTGTAGCCTGAACTTCGGAGATGTGTAAACCTTCTAAAACCATGTGAATAAAAACGACATAAGGACTGCAATATGTGTTTACACACTTTGTCACAGAGGGTATAAAGCATTGCCTGCTGAAAGCTGAATATTAAGCATAGAAAATTATCAACATCTATGACAAACAAAATAATGGATGATGTACAGTTAGCATTGTAAAGAAAGATTCTGGGACCTGAGAATGTTAAACAAAATTTCAGAGGGAAAGAGAGTAAATGATGTTTTTATTTAATTTATACATTTTTTTTTCAAGAAAATAGAGCAAAAGCAATCAAATTTTCTATAATGAAACTATCAAATAATACATGCATTTCAAAAAAGTAAAAAAAGTAAAATAAAAGAAGTTTTGTCTCTCCATTTTTCAGGGAAAAAAAAAAATAATTTCATGCGAAAAACATACTTTTCCAAAATAAGAATTTAGCATAGAAATGAGATTACAAGTCATGAAGTTACTGGGTATAATCAAAGTTCTGATGAGGGTGGAAAATAAAGTGGCTACATCTCCAATAAATCTAATAAGGGTTAAGTTTAAATCAGGGTAAAGGTATTAACATGCTATAGTGTTAGTCATAAAAGATTAGTCCACCCTGTGTTATATAGAGCTATTCCTGGCAATGACCATTAAATATGTGCAAATAAATGTCAAATTTTATAATGGTTTGTACTGCTTTCAACATGTTATCCTGATCTACATTTGTATGTTAACTAAGCTTTTGAGTTTTTATTTTATAGAATTATAATGTACTGAAAATGTCACAGGATGAGAAAAATATGCAGTCTGAACCTCATCGGCACTTGAACCTGCAACCCTAAGAATACCATTCTGCAGCTCAACCCACATAGCTACCTAGCCCCATACTCATTTTCTCCCCTTGAAGTGAACAGTTCACCACAGTGTTATGCAGGCATTTACTTTTATACTAAAATATCCTGAATTTTGTACGAGACTGACAGACATGTGTATACAAATTTATACAATATGCCATGAACAGTTAGAAAGCACACAATCACCAATAGCAATATGAAATGTTACAATTTTCACAAACAATATAAGAAAATTATATAATAGAAGCAACAAACACTTATGAGTCTTTGATATTCATTTGCACATTAATCACACTGGATAACCTGTCATGTATTATGAAGGATGCTTTGCTTTGCATTATGCTCAATCATAATTTTAGTGTAAAATAATCAATAAAATTCATTAAAAAAAATAAAATAATACAAAAATAAATAAAACTTTAATTCATAAAACATAATTTCTAAACATTTCTGTTTCCTCCTAGCATATTCAAAATTGTTATAATATTTAAATGATTTGCTGGTGAAAGCATCCTGCACCAAACATTACACATTATCCATGGTGATTTTTTTTTCACACTAGCAAAGTATCTACTGCAGTACAAAAACACTATTGGTAGTATAGTATACTGATCCAGTAAAGCTAAAATATTATGTTGCCAAGCCAACACCGCAAGGCTCGTTACTTGATAGCTCTTACATCACATTTTCGTAGTGTGGCGATATGTAACGAAAGAAGTTGCATCGGGATCACAGTAAGAATGCCCTGAAGGGCGTCGATCGTGTGTGGAACAGAAACGTATTTACTGGCATGATCTTGCGTCTCTTTATCATCTATATTACCGATTACAATCGGCTGACCCTAAAATGTAATTAGACATTACTATCTGACTATCCAAATACAAAAAGCTGCAGTAAATGTTCCCCTTAACCAAAGTGCATTGAATGCTTTCTTCATATATTCCTTATATTGTGCATAATTATGATGATGAAAGGAAAATTAAATGATCACCGACTGATAATGTAAATATCAAGACATAGATTGATTATGTCAAAAATCCATGTCAATTTCCAGTTTTAATTAAAATTTTGGCAAGTTCATGATGAAATTTTCAATTTTGGCAATCAAACAATGAGCCCTTTCCAAATTTTTATTGAAACAGAATTTCAATTTAAATAAAACAGAAAACAACCTCCTAAAATGTGTGCCAATATTGTTAAAAGTGTTTTAATGTGACCAAAGATTATTTCAATTACACTGAAACAAACGTTTTAAAAACCGTTACAAAAAAATTAGAGTGGAATTTTTATAAAACAGTCTATTCTCTGACTGGTTGATTTAAAAGTTGATAACTTGGAATTAACCAAATTAGTTCCTAGTTGCCAATAAATGATCAACTCAAATCAACTAAGAACTAGGTCATAACCTCTGTTTAACCTTTAAGCGTGCAGCTATTTAAGCAACCAGTGCAGCCCAAGATAAGTCAGCTTATCCGAGCCATTTTATCATGCTCTGCACTGTTTGCTATTCAGTTAGTAGAATGATTATTTGAAATTTTCCCAAAGAATGAAAAATGGTCTTGTCCAGATTGAAAGATAGACAAGTTCAATTAATATATTTAGGGTGGCAAGGGTTAAAATCCTTATAGCAAGATGCCTTATAATAATACATATATATCAAGGCAAAAACTTAGCAATTTTCTTTCATGCAAAGAAGAACAACAACAATAATATTAAATTAAAGCATTGGAAAACTGCATGCTCTGACTAAACAGTGTGCTCTGGAGTGAAATCATTTTGTTAAGATACATTCATAATAACTTTGATCAAGATGTTCAAATTAAATCTCACAATTGCAATAAGCAATTTCTTTTTTCAAGTCTAGAAATATTTCAAAATTTCCTAACATCACAATAATCAATTATTGTAAATCTAATTCTACATGGTCACATATTTCTAACTTGCATACAAAAACAATTAACTTCTCTGCCATTTTTTAGAGACAAAATTAATGAATTCCTCAGCAATGTGTTACATTCCAGGTAAAATAGCAATAAAAAACAACAAAAAATTCCAGACGTTCATCTAAAAATAGATTATTTTCCATATCAAGAACATTATCTATTTTTGCTGATTAAAGAAGAATAACTGACGTAGCAAATGATTTCACAGGACACAGCTGCAACATCTTGATCAAAGTTAACCTTTAACCTGCTCAATTTGTGTAACGGATTTCCCCAGCTTTGAATTTGGAATAGTCCATAAAACTTCCAAGGGATTTCCCTGGCTTTGAATTTGGAACAGTCCATTTAAACTACAGGTATTTCCCTAGCTTTGAATTTGGAATGGTCCATTTAAACTTCCCAGGGATTTCTCTAGCTTTGAATTTGGAATGGTCCATTTAAACTTCCCAGGGATTTCCCTAGCTTTGAATTTGGAATGGTCCATTTAAACTTCACAGGGATTTCCCTAGCTTTGAATTTGGAACAGTCCATTTACACTTCCAAAGGATTTCAGTATCAATATACAAAACTTTGATTAACCAACAGTATAGAGCCTGGTCAGACTGCACGGATGTGCAGGCTGGCCTGGCTCTATACTGGTGGCAAAGGCCTATCAACAGGCTCCAGCAGGTTAAAGGTTAAGATAAAACACCAAGTGATATACATGTATGACAATCATGATATAAAGAGCATTCATCAAAAGGAAGGCTGTGACATCCATCATGCTTCAATAAATAACATACAGACAACATACAATAATGATTGTAGTTAATGCTTATTTAACTGTAACCTGAAACAAGAATTGTTTGCTCAACTATTCTCAGTGCTTGATAGTGGAGTAAAGACTAATTTTGTAAGTTCAAAATGAGGCATATTTACATCAAAATGAATAACATAGTTATTTACAATTATGCAAATGGGCGTGAAGGTCAAAAATATGTATTCCATGTTTAGTATTCCATGTACAAAAGCAATATTTTCAAAGGTTTTTCGATGAAAGGGTGGTATAAAAAACCTTAACCAAGGTGAGATGCTGGCTGAATTCTGGGTGAGGAGGGTAGCCCTCCTTGTTTATATTTATATCAGACTAAAATACAATTCAGCAGTTTCTTTCCTTTCTTTAACCACAAACCTGCTGAATTTCTTAAATGAACCTGTCCAGCATCCTTTATTTGGAACTATCCATTATCAATTTAAGGGATATCAAGATAAATAATTGAAGTTGGTCAGCCAACAATAATATAAAGTTTGGTCAGGCTATTACAGCTGATAATGGGTTAAAAAATTAGGAAAGAAAAACCCATGCTGTCGATTTGGAAATAGTTCAAGGTACAATGTTTGACACTGGTAACGACCAAATTTCTTCACATAAGCTGACTGCATACCCTCTCCAATTCTAGGGAAGCATCTCTTTGCCTTTATATCATAGGGTTAAAAAAAAACAAGAAAAAATTAAATCATAACTCATCAACACCTGAAACTGATAAAATCTTATAAATTTTTGATTCAGCTCACTGTGAACTTAGGTCTGGAAGACAAAAGAAATTTTTAATTATTTACAAAACTTGTGCTGAAATAAATCCATAGTTATTAAGTCTTAAATCAAGTTAGGACAAAATAGTTAAAATCAGTTTAAATTTTATGTTATAATACCTTATGAAAAGTGATGTAATAGTTAGTGTTTAATGAATAATCATACTTTCATATCTTATATTGACTTTCTACGTGCATAAAAATGTTATGAAACCACCAAACAAAAGTATGATTTTTTGTTATCAGCAAAAACTATATTAGGCCATGTACATGAACATCAAATTTTATGGGTTTTTGTTTTGTTTTTGGTTGTGTTTCATGTCGCACCAACACAGTAAAGGTCATACAGCGACTTTCCAGCTTTATTGGTGGAGGAAGACCTTGAGTACCCTTTCAAGCATTATTTCAGGCATACAAACAGGCACCCGAGTAGAACCAACAATATTCCAAAAGCTAGCTGGATAGCTTCCTCACATGAAAGAATCTAAAGTCCCTGTCAGGTTTTGAACCAGCAGCCGTGAGGGGCAAATATTATGTATTCCAAGAATAAAATCATTGATCAGTTGGAAATACAAACAGCCTACTAAATAGACTTTGTACTTACATGTCTTGCTTTAACTTGCTGCAAAGCATTCATACATTTCTGAAAATAAATATTATAGAAACTTAAATATTTCAATTATTTAATAAGATACTGGGAATTCGCTTAATTTCATGGACATGAAATTTCGTGGTTTTTGTCACAAAGAACATTTTTGTGGATACTTTAAGTTGTGGACTATTAATCTAAAGGGTAAAATGTAAATGATTTGATGAAAAATAATCTTATAGCAGACAAAATGAAATTTCGTTGGATCTTAAATTTGTGGATTGACCTTCCCATGAAAACCATAAAAATTAGTGTACCACAAAAAATAATGATTTTGAAGTAACCATACAATATTCTACAATTATAGTATGACTATGAGGTAAATATCCAAATTTATGGACCTGGCTAATGTGATAACACTAATAACACATAAACCTGGTCCATACACTTTGATATTCACTGAAATCATCATGCAATAACTGTTTTATTACATGACCATAGAAAAAGTCTTCATTTGGTAAATTTTTTAAAGTTGACCGATTTCTTTTTTTTTCCGTGTAAACAAGCCCTAAATAAGCAGAGGAAAAGCCTAAAAGTTGTTTTTCAGTTCACAGCATTAGTTTTGTTTTTAAAAGGGAATAATAGTTCATAAGAATGCAAAGTAAAACACATAATTATTTTTTGTAGACTTGACAAAAAGTCGTAATCTGTAATTTTAACAGGATGTTTATATTACATAAGGTTGGCTAGTACCCCTCTATCCCGTTAAGCCATTAAAGACTTGTTTCTAATAATAGACGGTAAAATTTAGCACCATAATTTATTATGTTGTTTGTTAATATCAATATCCCCTAGAATTTATTGACTGTCATGTGACCTTGTCTCAATCAATCGCAATGGAGAGAAATTGTTTGTCATATAATTATTATTTACCATTCTAAGTTATGACAGATTTTTCAAGAAACTGTTTTCAAACAAGTTCACTATTAATAAAGTTAAGTCATTGTGCAAATTAACACATGGTAAGCCCTGCCCAAAACTGAACTTAACAACTTTAAACAGCTTCATTATCTTCCAACATCAACCTTTTGTGTTACATAAACATATTTTAAGAACATTAAACTTAATAGAATTTAATACAAAATCATGGCAGATATAATCTCCTTGAAAACTACTAATTTGTAGCACAACAATAACTGAATATTAAATTCTAAATCCATAAATTGATAGCTAAACAGCAACTTACAGAGTAGACTTTATCACGTGTTACAACCATCATTACAGGCATGGCTTTATCCACTAAAGCCAATGGTCCATGTTTGAGCTCCCCGGCCAATATACCTTCTGAGTGCATGTAGGTCAACTCCTTGATTTTCTGTAATACATATTTTCAATATACATAATAAATTGAGCTGTGTCACGACAAAGCCAGCATAATGGGTTTGCGACCAGCATGGATCCAGACCAGCCTGCGCATCCGTGCAGTCTGATCAGAATCCATGCTGTTCGCTTACAAACCCTATAACAAGTAGAGAAACTGATAGCAAACAGCATGGATCCTGATCAGACTGCGCAGATGCGCAGGCTGGTCTGGATCCATGCTGGCCGCAAACCCATTATGTTGGTTTTGTCATGACGCGGCTCAATTATTTATTGACCTTAATATGTTTTGATTTGAATTTTAAATCATGTATCTATATATTTCTTATGACTGATGAGAACCATATGGCTAATATCTTCCATATTTTAGTGTTTTAATGATTTAATATTTTACAATATTTCAGTTATATGGATAGCTTTTGTTTGTATTTGTTGGGTTTTAAGTAGCAACAACAATTTAAAGGTCATACGGCGACTTTCCTGCATTACTTGTAGAGAAAGACCTAAGGTGTCCTTTGCGCATTATTTCAGGAACAAGTGGGAACCTGAGTAGAACCACTTATGTTCTGTAAGCAGGCTGGATAGAATCCAAAGTCTCTAGGGAATTAAACCCACAGCTGTGAGGGGCAAATAGTTTCAAGTTAACAACATTAAACACTCAGCCACAGACGCCCCATATGGTCTGCCCCATATGGATAACAGTTTATGACAATAACCATACCAATTTAGTTAAATGAATGAAAGTACATGTAAATTATTGACACCATACCAATGCTCCTTCAAGGCATGTGGCAAAGTTGTATCCTCTACCCATCACCAGCAGGGATTTTTGTGTATAAAGTTCTTGAGCCAGTTTGTGAATTTGTTCATCTAGTTGAAGGACCTCTTTAATTTGTTCTGAAAATAAAATGTCACTGTTATAAATATGCACATTTTTTTTCTCAGCCCAACCTGGTTTAAGATTGAGCACCAATCAGTACTGGATGAGACGAACCTAGCTTTTTTGTTTTGCTAAAAATGCATGACACATCCACTCCTCTGGTACAAAATCTGTACATATAGAGTTTTAAATAAGAGCTAATATAAGAGGTTTATACCAGAGAAGAAAGTGGTGGGGTGGCCTGTGTACACTACTTTATCAGTCTTTATGGTTCAATATCCCTATAAATTTTCTCAACATCTCAATTCTAATTTTTAAACATGTAGACCAGAGATCTAGATAGTGTACCTGGCAAATGTTTGAGACCCTGTATGATTTCTTTCCGTCTTTCCTGCATTGAGATTCTGTCATCACACATCATAAGGCCAAACATCACCAATGATATAAACTGACTGGTGTACGCCTGAAATATATCAAATCTTTATGTATAAACTAGGTCAAGTATTGAAATCAAATTATAGCCCCTAAGCACACATTTAAAATTTAACATTTATATACAAAGCCTTACCTCTTTCCAGGTAATTTTTAATTAATTGATATAATTATCATGAAATTAGAATGAGCACAATGTTTGTTTGTTTGTTTGCGTATATCAGCACATTGACACATAACTGGCCATACCATGCCAAACCATATAATTGTTAACATGAGCACAATGTAAGACATAACCTGTTCTAATTAAATCAATATGATAAATACAATTCCTTTTGGCCAGTTAATGAACACTTCTCAGTTGTACCCTATGTGCATCTTAATTCTTTTGGTAATGTAATTGTGCTGTCCCATTTACAGTTTTCAGGATATTTGACAGGCCTTAAATATTACCTTGAGGGGGAATTTCCTTAAGCTCCATTGCTTCATACATCAAGCAAAAATTAATTCCTAAGATTCTTAGCTCGAGCCTCCATTGCTCAATCTCATAACTAAAGCTATTCATTTGATACTTTGAATAAAAATATGAGACGCGTCACAAAAAATAACATAATAGAAATATGCGACAGCATGATCGACCCGCTGAATTCGACGTTGATAGGTCCATTGTTGCTTCATTCTGTACTTGTTAAAAGGGTTTGTACGAAAAGGCATGGATCCTGTCAGGACTGCAAAATAGTCGCAGTCTTGCGTCTATATGCTGTTTGCAACGCAACTAAAAGTTGATTTTGACTGGAAACTAAAAATATGTAGGGAGACAAACTTTGTACTGGCCACACCGATTTCTGGTCCGGCATTGATGTGAACACCACAGTGAGAGCCTCTACATATACTGCTGCCTACTGTGTTAGTGATACCCACAATGAGGGCTCCACGACTTTTACAGTAATTTAAGGCCATTAATGTGTCCGCAGTTTCACCTGGAATAATCATTAACCAGTAGATGACAAACACTGAATAATACATAAAATTTCTGAATCTGTAAAAAGCATAATCAAGCAATAAGCCAATGACTGGAGTGTGTATTATGATTTATCCGATCCTTTTAACACGACTCTTGACAAATTGCAATTTCTGCAAGAAGTAAAACTGCGAAACTCTACTGTTTTAAAATTGAGATATTGACCAATGATGAAAACTACATTTTTATTCAAATTTGATAAAAAGCCTTTTCTAACAATATCATAAGTAAAATATTACTTCTTTCTGCCTTTGAACTGAATTTTATGCTCTTCAATGATGCTGAAGAGACTGACAGCAAATTTGAATGCTATACATGCCTGTAGTGTCTTCATGCTTGGTAACATGATTTGCCTATATTGAGTAACATTTGCCTGCACATTACACAGAAGTGCAGTGTGACCAATACACTGACCGAGTTGTTACCCATTGCTTCAATTTTCATGCTAAAACCCTGCATATTAACCATGGACTGTTCCAAAGTCAAAGAAGAACAAGTCCATTCTACATGTAAAAACTAAGCATAGGCAGGGTTTTAAAAGAGAAGGTGAAATTACCTGACTGGCTTATAAAGAAGCAGACATCATCTCTGAAGACAGGTGTATTTCTGTCCAGAAAGTCACTTGCTAACTCCACCATCACAGGTAATTCTGTGAGCTCCTCAAGCAGCTGCCGAGTCTGCAAAAAGAAATTACATGAAATATCTAAAAATACATTTCTTTTTGCAAAATATCCTCTTTATGGGAATGAAATTAAGAACTTAATATTTAGCCCTTAGCTTGCTGGTAGCGAATGATTCTGTGATCAGTACAGCCTAAGATTAGATGGCAAAGCAGTGACATCTGATCTTGGTCGTCAACTGTTCCCTATTCATTTAGTACAATGTACTTACCTTTAAATTTTGATTTTGTTTAAAAAAGATGAATGGTTTTGTCAAGATTAAACGAAGGACAAATCCATTTAAGGAAGATATTCAGTCTGGTAAGAGTTACAAGAAATCAACAAGCAGTGATTTAAATGAAGAAATTGAATTTTACTAATTTCATATACAAAGTAAACTAGTTCTAACATCTTTCTAATAAAACCAAAACGATCAGAAAACAGTTATATCGGGTACAAATTTAGCAAGACAAGGTATAACACTTACTGCTACTGTGCTATGATAACTGGTTCCACAAGCTATGAACAAAAGTCTTCTACACCGCTTTATTTCGCTCATGAACTCCTTGAGTCCACCGAGGGTGACTGTATTCTCCTCAAAATTGACGCGCCCTCTCATTGTGTTAACAACAGACTCTGGTTGTTCAAAGATTTCCTTTTGCATGAAGGAGCTGTAGTTACCTACGTACATAAAATGGCAAAAACTTTGATCCAGTGCTTGTAAATACATGTATAAGAGTTTATAATGCTGTATAAATGACACCTAGGAAATTGTTACGAAAAATCTTTTCAGACTGATTTTCCGTCTTGATTTTCGACAGTTATTGCCATGGAAAAGACAATTTTTAATGACAAAATTGACATCTGCATCTAACACAGCTACCTAAACTCTTCATAAAAAATTCCTAAAAGAAATTTGTTAGCCTACTGCTGTTAAAGCTACAACCACCCAACAATTTGAAATTTATGAGTAGAACCGTAAGTGTTATATTATACATGTAATAATAAAATTTCTTTCTTTTTAACAATAAAAAACATCAGATCTAAAAATAGCTCTTTCAAGCAGACATACCTTTCATGATCTGTTGAAGTTCCATCTTAAGTGTGATCACCTCTCGAACACTCGACTCATCAAGCTGGTTCCGCTTGATCCGGTGCAAGGTAAGGCTACCCTTTGTAACTGCGGCTACATCATCATCCTCAAGAAATATCACCTGGTTGGTATGTTCAATTATTGCACTGCACGTAACATAAAAAAAATGTGTCTGAATAGATGTGTTTTTTTTATTTTTTTATTTTTTTTTTATTTACGTAGTTGAATCTATTATTTTTTATAAGACAATTTAGATTGACTGTAATACAGGTCAACATATGTTCAAGAAAGATATAAAAAGATAAAATAAAAAATAAACATCCATAATACCTTAAGCTATTTCAATGAATGATATTTAAATACATGTATATCAATATAAAGAACATCTGTTCGCAATTTTTATATAATTATTTGTAGTTCATAAAGGTTTTTATGCAACTGACAATTTTCAACATATTTTTTCCACTTATAAGAGCAAAATATTTAGGTAGATTTCAAGAGGTTGAATTTTCTACTCCAATGCATAATAAAGCTGACGATAGGGGAAAAGGGGTCCGCCTTAAGACACATAAGTTTCCTCCAATAGTGACGCTGAGATACAGTTTTATTACAATGTTATTGCAGCTTTAACAAACAAAAGTACAATGGTGTCCCCCAACCTTCATCCAATTTTCTAAAATACAAATTGCCATCTAATCAGTCTGTGTTAATTGCTCCATTTTACTTTTCAATTTAAGTAAAAATATCATTCCTTCAATGTTTTTTTTCAAAGTACTGACTTAATTTAGACTTGTATTTCAAATACTATTTCCTTAATGATTAAATTGATTGGTAACAATTTATACATATAGAATAACTTAACAAACATTGGATACCAATATAGTGATAGAATACCAGTATTCCATTTATGTTGCATGTAATGTAATCAACAATATAACCTTGTTTATACATTCACAACAATATCTCCATTTATCTGATTGTTATTTTATGGAATATGTGATTTACAGAATGTTAAAGCACACATCAAATGATAAACAGACTTTCCCAAAGTAAAAAAAAAAGGTGCAGACATGTTCAGACATTGCAGAATGATTTTATTTTTTAAATATCTGCACATACAGAAGGTGCACATCTGGTTTCAAGACAATCTCTAAATATCATTTTGTCTTCACATTGAACTTTCACTTAGAAATAAGATCATGCAGCTATAAAAAGGAAAATTCAGAATCAAAAGAAAAAAGTTAAAAAAATTATATATACAAACAATGAATAAAAAGATGCAAATTTAAGGCAAAGGAAACAAACAGGGAAAAAGAAAACCATTCTGAGGAAAAGAAAACAAAAGTAGGAAAAACAGGGAACTACCAGGGAAAAAACATGCAAATGGGAGAAAATGAAACTATTAAAATGGGAGAAATGGAAACATAATTAATAGCGTATTGGTGAATAACACAAATTGGGGAAAAAGAAAAGAAATTGAGAAAGAATTAAACAGATAGGGTAAAGAGGAAGCAAAAGAAGTACTGGTACCAAGAAACTGACTGGTACCAAGAAACTGTGTCCACAGGACTCAGTTTCTCCCCTACATTCCACTGTTCTGTTTTACAGACTGTCAGCAGGAAGCCTGTCAGATAAGGGAAAACCATAAACGACCCTACCCCAAGTAATGGGGGCGTAAAAAGTAAACAAATAAATCATAGTAAGTAGACACTATAATTACCTGGCATCGGATGCAAAGAAATACTCGACCTCCTTTTCTGGCCCGACAGTATGATATTCAGTTTCCGAGAAAGATCTTTGAGCTGTTGGCGCCGTCATGAACCCACGGTTATCTGGTGGTTATTAAAGAAAATAACAACTATAACAACAAAATATACCACACATATCAAAGCAATCCTGTTTCCTTTTTCAATATCATTTAGATGACCAAAAATTGATAAAATATTTATCACTTAATAAAACAAGAGGGCCATGATGGCCCTGAGGTCGCTCACCTGTATATAGGCCCCCCAACCCCCACCCCCCCCCCCCCCCCCCCCCCCCCCAACGTTGCAGAGCCAATTTAACCCAAGGGCTTTTATTTGCACAAACTTGGTAGACACCCATAAGAAGATGTTTCATGCTAAACATTTAAGCTCTAGCTCATTGGGCTTTTTAAAAGAAGATTTTTTTAAAGTTTTTACTATACACATATAGTTAAAAACAATGACACCCCTGGGGCCGGGCCAGTTTTGACCCCAGGGCTTTTATTTGAACAAACTTTGTAGACACTTACTAGAAAATGTTTCATGCTTAATATCTAAACTCTAGCTATTTGGGTTTTTTCAAAGAAGATTTAAAGTTTTTGCTAAACACATATAAAGAAAATCAATGACCCCCGGGGCGGGGCCAATTTTGACCCCTGGGCTTGTATTTGAACAAACTTGGTAGACACCTATTAGAACATGTTTCATGCTAAATATCTTAGCCATAGCTCTTTGAGTTCATTAAAAGAAGATTTTTTAAGTTTTTACTATATGCATATAGGGAAAATCAATGACCCCCCGGGGCGGGGCCAATTTTCACCCCAGGGCTTTTATTTGAACAAACTTGGTAGACACCCATTAGAACATGTTTCATGCTAAATATCTTAGCTCTAGCTCTTTGGGTTCTTTAAAAGAAGATTTTTTAAGTTTTTACTATATGCATATAGGGAAAATCAATGACCCCCGGGGGCGGGGCCAATTTTGACCCCAGGGCTTTTATTTGAACAAACTTGGTAGACACACGCTAGAAGATGTTTCATGCTTAATATCTTAGCTCTAGCTCTTTGGGTTCTTTAAAAGAAGATTTTTTAAGTTTTTACTATATGCATATAGGGAAAATCAATGACCCCCTGGGGCGGGGCCAATTTTGACCCCAGGGCTTTTATTTGAACAAACTTGGTAGACACTCACTAGAAGATGTTTCATGCCAAATATCTAAGCTCTAGCTCTTTGAGTTCTTTAAAAGAAGATTTTTTAAGTTTTTACTATATGCATATAGGGAAAATCAATGACCCCGGGGCGGGGCCAATTTTCACCCCAGGGCTTTTATTTGAACAAACTTGGTAGACACCCATTAGAACATGTTTCATGCTAAATATCTTAGCTCTAGCTTTTGGGTTCTTTAAAAGAAGATTTTTTAAGTTTTTACTACATGCATATAAGGAAAATCAATGACCCCCCGGGGCGGGGCCAATTTTTGACCCCAGGGCTTTTATTTGAACAAACTTGGTAGACACTCACTAGAAGATGTTTCATGCCAAATATCTAAGCTCTAGCTCTTTGAGTTCTTTAAAAAGAAGATTTTTTAAGTTTTTACTATATGCATATAGGGAAAATCAATGACCCCCGGGGCGGGGCCAATTTTCACCCCAGGGCTTTTATTTGAACAAACTTGGTAGACACCCATTAGAACATGTTTCATGCTAAATATCTTAGCTCTAGCTCTTTGGGTTCTTTTAAAAGAAGATTTTTTAAGTTTTTACTATATGCATATAGGGAAAATCAATGACCCCCCGGGGCGGGGCCAATTTTGACCCCAGGGCTTTTATTTGAACAAACTTGGTAGACACTCACTAGAAGATGTTTCATGCCAAATATCTAAGCTCTAGCTCTTATGGTTTTTTAAAAGAAGATATTTAAAGTTTTTTCTTTCGGTTGCCATGGCAACCAGAGTTTTGCATGGAATTAAATTCTTTGAACAATTTTTAAAGGTGACCACCAAAGGAACATTCCTGTGAAGTTTGGATGAAATTGGCTTAGTGGTTTATGAGGAGATGTCATTTAAAGTAAAAGTTTACGGACGGACGGACGGACGGACGACGGACGGACGACGGACGGACGGACGCCGGACGAAAAGCGATCACAAAAGCTCACCCTGTCACTTTGTGACAGGTGAGCTAATAAACATTTATGATTTTTATTTTTTTTTCGCAAACAGAAAACGAAACATTGAGTGACACAAACAAGAATTTGACTAAAAACAAAGGAAAACATATACATATAACTAGCAACTAAAATCTGTTTCACAGCTCACAAAAAATAAATTTTCAGTAACAACATGATATTGTATAAATCATGATAATCTTTGTCATGTTTATGAAATAAGTAAACATGAAAGTAAGAGTTAATGAATCTGTTAAGCTATTTTTAAACAAGCCTCATTGACAATATATGAAGATCATATTTAAAAAAGCTTCCTAAAAACGTAAGCCACTTTATGTACAGAGTTCTACCGTTAAGACATTTTTATGGTTCTACACATGTCGAAACGTGTACTGATTAAATTTATAACTGTAAGATAATATAGAATGTTAAATTAACCAATCAAATATAAGAAAATGAAAAAAAAAACTTACGAAGATGTTAAAACTAGTTTACTTGGTATATGAAAAAATAATAATTTACAAGTTTGACAAATATTTATTTAAAAAAAATAGATTTATAGGAGAAATGATTAATATCTTTTTTTTTGAAAATGAAGTCTTTAATACTAATGTCTTGATATTTCATCTACGTGTCTGTTGTAGCATTGGGCAAGAATATTTTTTCAAGAATTTTACAGGCAACATTAGGGTATATCATTTTTATATATACATGCATGATCTTATATTATATTCCTGGTTATACTGTAACATACTGCATCAGTCAATTTTTATCATACTCCCAACCCCCTTTCCGGAGATAGCAAGGTCATTGACTTCCTGATTATCAAACCCTTTGTAAAGACCTCGATCCACTGTCAGGACAGTCAGGATAGCAAAATCCATTGCTAAATTCATCAGTACTGCTAGTTGAACACATTGCTGGACAAATCCAGGGTAATTCACTGGCTCATTACCTTATATCCATCCACAGCCAGGATTGGGGGTTGGGGGTAGGGGTGGGATAGGGGGTTGGGGATGGATGAGGTTTTAATTGACTGATGTATCAGTATATCAATGAGACAGACAGACAGACAGACAGACAGACAGACAGACACATCTGTGAGGTTTAAAAAAAATCTGTTGCCCATAACTGATGTTAAAACTGTTTACAGGCCCAAATTTTACACCTTTCTCATTTTGTCACCTTAGTGCAGTAAGGAAATAAGTTCTTTTAAGTTTAATAGGAGTTAATCAGTTATTGCACTAAGGTAACAAATTTTGATTGTAATTCTCAAATCTTACCCAGTAACTAAAATGTCCACTTATATAACACTTGTACTTAATTTAAAGGAGCTCCACTGAGGTCAAAAGGCCTAAAACATAACACTTGAGCCGCATCATGACAAAACCAACATAGTGCGTTTGCCACCAGCATGGATCCAGACCAACCTGTGCATCCGCGCAGTCTGATCAGGATCCATGCTATTAGCTATCAGTTCTTCTACTTGTAATAGGGTTGGTAAGCGAACAGCATGGATCCTGATCAGACTGTGGGGATGCGCAGGCTGGTCTGGATCCATGCTGGTCGCAAACCCATTATGTTGGTTTTGTCATGGCACGGCTCATTTTAATTTCTTTCATAGATCAGCTAGAGCACTTATACAGAATGATATACAAAAGATAATTTAGAAATATACTGAAAATGAATTGCAAATCATATTTTTGAACAATTCTTGACACGATTTTGGCAGAAAGCTTGGCAACGTTTTTCAATTTTGGGTATTTTATATAATCAAAAAACTTATTATGATGAAACAGAGTAGGCGTATGATCTGAAATTTTGCACACAATTTATTTGTCTAGACTTACATCAAATCGAACATTAATCTCGAAAATTTTTATTTCAAGTCCCTTCAGGTCAAAAAACCTCAGTGGAGTCCCTTTAAACCATAAATAACACATGACCTGCCTGAAATGTTTGTTCTTAGACCAGGTTATTCTTCTACATTAGCACTCTTATAAATTGATATATCATATTTACTTTAAAAACTGCACCCATTCATTAACAGTATTTGTATTTACTATATTCCTTAAGATCTGCATGAAAAAAGGTTTAGCTTTCTGAAATTTCAGTATATGAATTTTGATTTAAAAAGTAACTTTATATACCAAGGGAGACAACTTAATACAATTCGTCCTATATATTTTATTTAACCAGAGTTATCCTTCCTGATACATGTAGCATAAGTCTGGTTGCAAATACACATGGTTGCAAATAAAATAGTTAAAATTATGAAATAATTGTATTATTATTATTATTATTATTATTATTATTATTATTATTATTATTACAGGATTAAAGACATTTATTTCCCCAGACCATAAAATTGTTTAGCTTTAAAAATTATGAATAAAAATGTAACTTCAAACTATCTGAGAACAGTTTAAGAGTTTTATTGGATATTTGAATGTTTGAAGACATTGAGTAAATAAACGTGTAATTTAACTATAATCTTAATAACTGTTATTCACATTTCCATTACAACAAACAACCTATCATGATTGCATGAATTTCGTTCCCTAGACATTTCAAATTTTAATCAAATCCCTACCAAGAGGTGCTGCGAGCTTGACCTTATTTTAGAACAAATACGGTAACACATCTTCTTATCTAGAAGTAATGGGATTTTCAAGTACCATAAACAACAATATCAATTCAAGAAGATATCCTTCTAAAGCTGGAAACTTCAATATATTTGTCTTTCTTGTACTTTAACAGTATTTCCCTTTGTTATATGGTGCCATTGTAAACGGTTTATCCCTCTCGCCCACTACAAGATTAAAACAAAGCTTTATGAGAATGCACCCTTAACCTTAAATTTCAACTCGAACCAGACACCAGTGTTTTTGTACATTTCATTAATTTTTTTTTTTCAATTAAATTCTGCAAGCTTGTGTCTTATATCTATATTGAACTTCAAGCCGTATAGTTATATATATCATTCACAAAACCAACCAGATTCTTTATCCAATGCTTACGGTATAAGCTTTATTTAAAAAAAGAAATAAATACAGTGTACAGATTCAATATTTCACCGTATTTTTATTTAACCATATTTTTTTAAAATGTAAAGAAAGTTTAATTTTAAGTTTTAAGTATGAAGAGGGTGCTTATCACATTTACATTTATTACAAAATCTACATTATTTTATTAATAGTAAACATTTTATATGAGATATTGCAGATGTCTAGCCAAAGTCTTTAAAGCTTTCCATATCAAGGCAATGCAGAAAAAATTGCTGACAGATCACTTTTTGTTAGAGATATTTTAAAATGGTTACTCTGCTTTTGGTATTGAAAAGAAGATAATAAATGTTATATCAATAGATGTTTACAAATGTATACTAAATTAAGAAATATCATAAATAAATATTCATAAAAGTTAAATATTAAGGATAGGGTGTGTCACAGCATTTAAATAAAATCTAAAAAAATTACGAAAATTAATAAAAAAATAAAATTCTAATTTCCACAGCCAAATATTATTATTTATTATTAATAAAGAATTAAACAAGAAAATGTCAGATCTAATGTGATTGTAATGAAAGTGTGGAGACAAAGATATACTCAAAACCTAAATTTAGAAGAACTGATAATTGGTGCCGTGTCAGGACAAAACCAACATAATGGGTTTGCGACCAGCATGGATCCAGACCAGCCTGCGCAGCCTGCCAGTCTGATCAGGATCCATGCTGTTCGCTATCAGTTTCTCTACTTGTTATAGGGTTTGTAAGCGAACAGCGCAGGCTGGTCTGGATCCATGCTGGTAGCGAACCCATTATGTTGGTTTTGTCGTGACGCGGCTCAATATTGGTGCTGCAAATATGTGCCTAGAAGTTACTCAAGAGAGAAAGTTTTCCAAAAAATTTTGTTTTGACATCACCATTTTATGCAAAGCAGGAGATGCAAGCAAAACAGTTATAAAGCACAGTATTGCAATCTGCCACATAAAGAACAGCCAGTTGCAGTATGCAAGAAGTCTCTTTATAGGACATTGGCAAAGTACTAATACATTAATATATTCAAATTTTTTGCATTCCTTTTTTTATACAGTGAAAAAGTAACAATAGGAAGGAAACAATGAAAAAAAAACAGTTCCTTTTATGTCCTTAAAATAAAACATAATGAAACAAATATTTTTTAAAGAAATAAAATTGAATATTGACATTAATTTTTCAAGAATAAATTTTACCTTAAAAAAAACTATTCATTTATTTTTACAAACTACATCAAATTTACTAAACCCCAGCAAAATGCATTGATATTCACATTAAAGTAGTCCTATTCATTTTAAATGAAACACAGTAAATAAACAACACTGGAAACATTTAAATGCAATTTACCAAATTAACCTTTGCATCATATAATATTCCAAAGATTCGTAACTCAGAGTAAAGACTGATACTCTTTTAACTACTAGTAATATACTCTTCAAATATCATAAACCGAATTTTAGTAATGTCATTTTGTGCTGCTAAAATACACATTTATTGTGAGATACTATTTATATAGTTTTACAAAAACCATGATATATAATAAAGTCCCATAAATGATTTTAGCACGCAGGTCCCCTAAGCTATATATGTAAAACCCCTTAAATACGGCATTTGTGTACGTAGCCAATGATAGTGTTGTACTTTGCGAATGTCAAGAATATATCACACATTAATGTCACCAATACCTTCGTTCTGATTAAAGTCTTTCGTTCCTAGAGTCAAACAAGGATTTTTATGCTCATTACATAGTACAAACAGCATGGTACATACATCATTAGTACATACTTTATAGTACATACTTCATAGTACACATACCTGTAGTACATACTTAATTAGTACATACCCTGTGATAAATGTACACTTAACTGTACACATTTTACCAGTATATACTTCATAGTACATATGTACATACATTATTAGCACTTGCTCCATAAGTACATACTTTGTAGTACATAATCTCACTAGTGTACACAATCATGCACTACATACATCACAAGTTTAGACCAAACCAGTATGTACTTAATAAGTATATACTACATAGTACACAGAAATTGTACATTCAATACAGTACAAACATATAAATTATAGCCACAGAGTTATTAAATAAAGAACACAATGTCATACAATTAGACCAATAATAAAAAGGTATGTAATTAAAAGGTTTAGTGTCACAGAAAATCATTCCAAACAGAATAGCATGACAGAAATAGGATAGTTACAATCTGATGAAATGTGAAAAAAACACTAAAAATTTGTAAAACAAAAACAAAGTAGAACTATTTGTATGATTTGGGTCTACTATTTTTATATAAATGTACAATATTTGTAAATCAACAAGGATTATTCTACATGGTATAGGGCTAATAATCGTGTATACATGTTGTCCTTATTACAAGTTGCTAGGAAACGCTATTTCCATAATCATGTATTTTCATCTAATTCATTTGACTGAACTAATATTAAAATCTACAACCGAAATTTTATTATAGCAATATCAACACTAAAAATAGAAACATAAAAAAATAGAAGAATTAATTTATATACATGCAGTTACTAATCATGCAGCCATCCTGTTTTTGTCTAAATTATCTACAAATTACAATATAATACTCTTTTATACCAATACAATAAACAGAATTACTCTCTCGACTCCCACTGGTAGCATGGTCTTAAAAATATAAAAAGAAAACCAAGCAATGAGCAAAGCATTAAATTGAAAATCATGGCATTTTATGTCAAGCTCCCGCTCTTAATTTTTTGGGCAAAATCTGAACAACCCATCAATCTACTCTGCTCAAATTCAACATCCAATACCCTCTTTCTTCTCCGTGCAAGACATGCAGTCTTAGATAAAACAAGTTGTTATACATGTATTTAATACAATGGAAATAATTTATCTATTGGATACTTAGAGTACTGTCAAATTATTTCAAAATATTCTAGGGATAATTTTACACATATATTGCACAAACAAAGACAATGAAAATATCCACAGGTCATTTTTGAAACTGGGAGAGAGTGTGGGGTCCTTTTTACGGTTTCATTCCAATTTTAGGGGACACAACTCATATATGAAAATGAAACCATTTTAAGAACCATGATAACATAGTACATATATGCATACATACAGTTCATGAACCAATATCTGTTGGTGACTATTTCTGTCTTAAAGTACCCTGCTGATTTTATTTGTTTGTTTTGTTTGGTTTTACAGTGCACCAACACAATTTATGTCATAAGGAGCCAAAACTTGGCTAACCTCAGGTGTTACAAACTCATTAAAGTAACACCAGGGGTCAAAACCACCTCACCCGCTGGTGCTAAGAGATGCATAGATTCCCGAGATTTGAACCCATTAAGTCGCCCCTTACAATCACAGAGGGATAAATGGTGGCTGCCAGTCTGATGTCTCAATCCCTAAAGGCAACTCCTCAGCCTCAAGGAGCTACTGATTTAATAAAGGCAATAAGTATCAAAATACTGACAACTTACAGCCAAAAGACAGGTCACTAAAGTGTACCTTTATTGTTACTCTTTTCTAAAACACTTAATTTGACTGTAAAAGGCAGATAATAGCAAGGGTTGACATTCTGTTACACAGAAATTGTCTATATCAAATACTGGTCCACATGGTCACCTTAGTGCTATTGAATTATACAAGGAGTTAACCTGTTATGGCACTAAGGTGACAACTTCTTCTTTAGAACAATTATTTTGTCAATGTTAAAATGTTTACATGATAGAAATTCAATTTTCAAAGGTAGAATTTACACAGAAATACAGTGAAGTTACTTAAGGTACTCATTCCTCTGTTAGCATAATGTAGCTTCTAAATTATTTAGTTCTTTTTATGACATATACTGATGAACAGTTCAGTATGGATTCCGAATTTCTGAAAAATAATTTAATCAAAAACAGTGTTTCTAAATACTCAATAAAATGTTAAACACATGTAGCATCATCATTCACAGATCTTGAAACAAATTTATTGAATTTCTTTGGCCTAATGCAGGAAAGAGTACCTTTAAAAATGAAACAAGAAATCTGTGTAATGAAAAAAAGAAGAATGAAAAAGAGTCAAGTATTGTACATAAATGTTTAAATAACATGAGATAGCCCCCTGAACTATGCTAAGATATTTCATATATTTCATAATTATAATGGGTGTTATAAAAGAAAAATAAAGATATTGAACTGCATTACAGTAGTGTAACATTTGTGTGTGATTATTGCTATGTAAATACAGTGATGAACTTATTCTGATATGTGGAAACTACCGATATATAATCAATCCACCATTGCTAGATACGCATTAGAAAAATGTCACCATTGCTAGAAAGCATTAGAAAAATGTAACCAATTCCAATTATATCAAGAGGTCATTCTTTATTGGTAATTTGTATAAAATATGGCCTAAAAAATGGCCTTGAATCTTCATAAGATTTTCTGCCATGTAAATTTGCTTTAAATTGGCAAAAAGGATTTTAATTTTTACAATTGCCTTTAATTTGTTTCAGGGCAAGGCTATTGCTATTTGTATTGTTAACTATTTGTATTCATGAACTAAACAAGGACCTAGACCTTCTTGTTCTGAAAGTCAAGGCATGCCTTTAAGGTTGACAGTATATAATGCATTATAATGCATACAATCCAAAACCATTCAGTGAGATGTGGGGGATGCTTGATGTGTAGGTGTGTCTGACATACAAACATTTAAAGCTGCAATAGTCAGTATTTTTTTTGTATTTTTTTTTGACAAATTTTATCAAGCTGAGCAGAATGTGCACAAAGAGACACAATGTTTCCCAAGATCACTTTATATACATTCAATTATTTTGAGTACATCGTCTCAAGCAAATAAGAAAGAGAACGAGTCCTAATAATTTTAAGAAACAGATTCATTTCTGAACAAAATGTATATAGCCACTTTCAATGCTTTTTATATCTAGGGTGATGTCCATAACTTATGTGCATGTACTAAACACTGTCAAATGAAATAGTTCTTTAAGTGACCTATCTTGTAATGAGCATTATCAAAACTTGAAAGATAGTGCAACATTTCCCCAAATTTTTTATTTTTTCTTATTTGAAAAGCACACAATAAACAAACAGTATATCTAAGCCCATCTTCAACAAGTAAAGCTCTGAATTTCAGTACCGCTTCATATATACCATATTCCAATTCTTTTCCGAGAAGCTTTGTTTTTTTTTAATATGTAAATAAAAACAGGAATGGCCAACAGATAACTGTTCAATATTTTCAATTATACCAAGGTGTTCAGGTAGAATTGCATATCGAAGTGACTACTAAGTGTTCAGAAAAAAAAGGTATAGCTCCTTTTGAAGAATAGATGAGTGTGTTCAGGAATTACCTTTCTGTTGATGATCTGAACAACAAAATAACAATGTAACATGATGGTTATCTATTAATATCAACATTTCCAAGACTGAGAATGTGACAATTAGCATTAATTAGTAAATTTTCACCCGCTATCTGTTGTCATCTGTGTAGAGCCAGGACAGTCAACACGTATATGCAGTCTGAACTGGCTATATAAGTTGGCAACTCAATTTTTGTCATTAAATATTTTAACATTTTTTAATCCCTTAAACTTGTTAGGAACAGTTCCAAAATCAAACAACGAACATTTCAGACCCCGATCAGACTGTACAAATGTGAAGTCTAATTTCATTCTACAACAAGAGCACCGCATGCGATGTTAACGCTCGTCTGTTAAAAATTCTAAGTTAAAAAGGGACATAACTCCAAAAATAATACTTCCAGATTTATGCCCCTTGTCTAACAAATGTGTCTTGTCATGATAAGCATGTATGATTAGTTTCATATTGATAACTTTTTAAGTGTTTGAATAATGGGCTACATTAAAGTTTTTTGCACAAAAACGACAACAACGCCATAGCGAACATAATAGCTCGACTTTTACTTTGAAACAGATGAGCTAAAAATGATTCATAATTGCAATTACTGCTGCCAATGCTTCCACTTGTGTTACCCTTTTGATGTAATTGTCACATTCTAATGTCCAAACATATATAATATAACACAGGTTGGGAATACTGGAATATTAGTATGTACTTTTTTTTCCTTCAAAGGTGATAAAAATACTGCAGTTTTCCAAACTGATTGAAAACAAACCTTGCTTGATTTGTGATGATTAAGCAAAATAAAAACAAAAACTAAAATTAAGAATTTGTCCCTTGATGCATAATCATAAAAAGACCATATAAACGAAAAGAAAAATATCCAAATCAGTCACAAATCATTTTAGGCTTCATTTTGACAATTCAGTTATATAGTATAATTAAAAGTAGTTACCTTTACTGTAAAACACTGGTATATGGTCTGTTGACAGCTTGCTTTTTGTTTTTACACCAATCACCAATGGGCTTCCACGTCTTATTAATTATAGAAAAATGAAAATGTCATATGGAACACTGTTATGTTAAGTAAAATAACAATTCATTATCATTTTACAAACATTTTCATACATATTTTTTGAAAAGAAAATTTAGACCACAATTCTGGTGTATTGCATACTACACATCTATTTCATTGACATCGTTTTTATTGACTTCATGCCATACTGACATAATTTCCTGGTTATTGTTATTATTTATTTATGTACTATGAAGAAGGCTATTCAGCCAAAACGTTGGTATATTAAAGGAAATTTACAAAAATTACAGTTGACTACTAATTTTTTACTATTTATACTTGAATATAACATTGCAACAACAATTATATCATTATTCCTGGTAACCTTTGGCGAGGAAAATTTCAGGCATAAATAATGTTATATAAACCTAGTTCCTATACATGTATGATAAAATTTGATACAACTAAATAATATGACTTCATGCTTTTCTCTATATATAATTATATTATATTGGCGATGAACATTTATATGTTTTTGCCAAAATAAAATATTGAATTGAATTGAATTAAATTGGAAAATCAAGAAAAAGTTTCTACTGAACATATTCTGTTGTATCATTTTTGTGTATAATAAACATTCAGAAAATATAGTAAGATATGTACAAGTATGTTATGAAATATAAAATTTACCTTGTTGCCACACATTCCCCGGGAAAATGTGAGCTCATGAAGGCGAGGGCGAAGGCTCCTTCCTGTAATATATACACACCAATATTACTGTTTAAATCACAATATCAATGCACAGAGTATATCAAATTTCACATTACCCTTCAATTATTGTCTATTCAATGAAAAAAAAATGCATGACAATTGTACTCGGGGAAAAAAAATCGGCCACTAATTTTTGCAAGCAAGGATAGATAGATTGAGAGCTAACAATGTCTCAACCATTGCTTCTCTGTATAATATTAGTATTTGCAGTGTAGCATAATCCTTTAGGAATTTCAGTTTTTCCTTCAAAATTTCAGTTTTTCCTTCAAAATTTCAGTTTTTCCTTCAGAAATTTCAGTTTTCTTTCAGAAATAAATAACAATCAATTTTTTTTTCAAAAATAATTCCAACAAACATTTCCAATTAAAGATAATAATACAATGTTGCATATTTTAAGTGTAACAGTATCATATGTTTTTGATTATTGTTACAAACTAAAAATACTGCTTCAAAAGGAAGATGGATTGAGATAATGTTTTGTAGTTTGCAGGCCAAACAAAACCAGATTGTTTCTAAATTCATTTAAAATGATTGTATACATCTGAATTTATTCGTCTAATTTTACTTAAGAATAACACTTGTAATTTTCATAGCAATATAATTTCAAATATTTAAATGTTGTTTTACCACAGATCTATAAAATAAAACATCCATGTATATAAACAATTTCCCTCAGAATAACCCAATAACACCAAACTCTTACAATTTTTTCTATCTATGCCTTAAAAGCACTTTTATTTCGATTTAAATGAAAATTTCACACATTATGAGTGAAAAAATAAGTCTTACTCCCTCAGGTTTATTGACATTTTTTTTTCCCTTTTGGTGACCATAATTATATTATTTTCCAAATGAGTGGTCAAACTAAATTCTATTACGATACCTATTCAAAATTGGGAAAAAAATTGTTTTACAATCTAAACAACTTATGATAATCAGATTCAAATTGACCTTATACATGAGGGTAATAACCTTTTTATTGGATGGTAAAAGTTTTATTAATGTACTAAAGATTGAGACACTTTGCTGTGATATCAAATTTTACTGTATACTTATAACATATAACAAATTTACAACTATCTTCTGGTCAAATGAAGATTCATCATTCAAAAATAGTTTGAAAATGAAATGAAAGAAAATAAACAGTTGAAATAGAATATTGCTTTTTTGACTGTCATACTTTGAACCATTTCAGGTTTTTATATAAGCTGAAGAAAGTATATTCACAAAAAGTACTTCTACAATTATAAAATAAACAATAAACAACCTCATCGCATATATACAAACATCTTTTTATAAAAGATGTTGCACAACTTTGCATAACAAGATGTAAGGAAAATCACTAATAAATATTGTATTCCTTTTAAATACACTTTGATTCAAAAACAAAAATCATAGCAATTCTTTTGTTTTATTATGCATATATTTATTAGTATCATAAGTACACTGAACTTTGTTCCATATTATAAAATAAAGCAGACCTGAGACAATCACTATGGCCATTTCAAAGTTCTAGTGGCCGAGTGGTTACCAAGTCAGAATGATTATCAAAGGGTTGCTGACTGTGTGGGTTCAAAACTCGTCAGGGGCAAGTCATTGTTTCCTTGAGCAAGAAACTTTACACTCAGTGCTTAGTACTGGTTGGTCAATAAGCTTATAATATATCCCTTTAAAAATGAACTCATACTCATGCTTATACCTCTAATCTAACAGAAATGTATCTTGAATTTAGTTCATGAATACTTGACATAAACATAGTATGTATAGTAAGAAAGCAAGAACAAGTCGATATGATATGTATAGTTTAATTTAGATATTTATTTTTGTTACCATTTATTTGAAATTTGTTAGATACTGATTACGGAGAGTTTTCAGTAAAGCTTTACAAGCTTCCTACTCAATCCGTAAATTTTATTTTATGTACTTTATTATGTAAATGTGTGAATTATAAATAAAATATTGTTTAAACTAAGCTTATAGTTTCGTACATAAACTAAAACAAATTATATATCAACTGACTTACTAAGGAAAGAACATTAACTTTATAACATCTTTACTATAAAATAAAGATACCATCTGCGTGTACTAACCAGTTGTTGTATAACTATTTCGACAACCTGTCTGAATGTCCCATCATGGACATATGTGTCGTACACATGCTTAGCCAACTTTGCAATAACCTCTGTGTCCGTTTCAGATTCAAACACAAAACCTTTGTTTTCCTGTAAGTAAAATTAGAAATATTTATTATTCAGTAATATTGTATATGTTTATTACATTGATTTTAATTGGACAATCATCTTATAAATGACAGAAGAAATTTTATGATTTTTTATAATTAAGATTTAAGAATAAAATTCTTTCAATTGTGCCCAGTAGTTTATGTAATTAAATGAACATCATTCTCTTCATACTGGTCCTTATACATTTAACATGACAATATCTTAATACAAATGTAACTACATTAACTAGAAATCAAAACTGTCACAATTTTTGGTGATTTACAATGTTTATGCTCAGAAGAACTTGGTCTAAATATTTCAATTTTGGCCCAAATTTATAATGTTTATTCTAATGAAAATTTGTATATTCAAGATAGCGTAACCATTTGTATATTATATATATACTTTTTATATATCATTTACTATGTCATTGTACTTTTTTTTATTTATTTCTTTTGATATCTTTACTATGTCACTGTACTGTACTCTCTAAAGATGATACTTTTAACTCCTGCTTGCTTTTAATTCTACTTTTGGTGTTAAATTCCCAATTGTACATCAATATGTAATTCAAGAGTCTTATACCACCATGCTAAAAACTACTATATATATCAATGTTATATCATTCTGTGCTGAGTTGCAATAGACGCATTGGTAAAGTTGATAGATCGAAATTAAAATATATGAAAGGATTTAAATGGTGATGATGATAGATCAAAATTAAAATTTATGAAAAGATTTAAAATAAGTGTTTGTCTTTATATAAGAAAAATGCTCTGTTAAAAAATATTCAATGTGAATTAAAATCGAGATGAAAGTACACCACATAAATAATGCTTAAATGATATTTCTCATAAATATAATTACACTAAAGTATATAATACAATATGCACTTATATAAAGTACTGGTACACTTGTTAAATTAAACATATTGAATTTCAAGGTTATTACTGTGATTACAGTAACCTGGCCTTTTTTATGGGGATATATTTCACAGATTCTCTATTGAAATGTCATCAAAAGATACAATGTTTGCTTTTGTCGAAATGATATGAGAGCAAAAAAAATCCTTCTTTTCCTTAAATAAATATGATAATTACTAAAAAAGTAAATGGTTTTCATATTGTTGACTGAATTTATACAAACTATTGATTAATGTCATACTAGTCCCTTTTAAAGATATAAGTGAATGTATGCTATTTGTTACTTAAATAGAGATAAGTCTTGATTTGGTTGGTTGTTTTTTGGGGGGTTTTTTTAAGGTCTTGCACTGCTATATTTCTGCTCAACTTTGATAGTTTGAAATGTTAAACTAGAATGTGTATCAAATCAGGTGTATGCCACCAGTACAGAGACAGGTCACTCACCTCATAAGAGCAGTTTAATTCTACACCAGATTTAATTTTTTGATGCTGAAACCCCTTAACCCTCTTACCACCCTAAATATCTTGAATGGACTTGTCCATCTGTCAATCTGGACAAAATCATCATTTTAGGGGAAAATACAAACTAAGTACTGAATATAAAGCAAACGGTACAGTGCAGACCTGACTGTGCCAGCCTATCTTAATCTGCACTGGTTTGACTGGTAGATTTATTCTCTGCCAGCACTGAGGCTTATATTCCAAGGACGGCAACAGCAACGCCGAGGCAACTGTAAATATACCTCCTTTTTTTATCTTTTTTAAAAAAAAAGTCAAGCTATTAGTCAGGTTAAAATCATAATGGACTGTTCCAAAATTTATGTCTGGGCATTTCCTTTATGCAGATTGAGCAATGGAAGAGCTAAAACCCTAAACTGTGACATAGTATATACTCACCAAAAGGGATTTAATGTCCTTGTAGTTGGTAATGATACCATTGTGAACCACCAAGAACTCTGAAAATACAAAACAATACATGTAGGTAAACTTAAATTACAGTTCCTGACAAGTGACTGTGCCTTTCACAAAATATGTGCCCTTAGCCATTGTTCTGGTTGCTTATGGGCAACTTCCCTGTTTTTCAATAAAATCATGCACAAAACATGATGTGATTAAACTGATTTAATTTATATTAGGTTCATAAGATTACTTACTGAATAATACACTACTTGTTTTGTGATTTTATACTACATACTTGTGTAGTGATTTTACACTACTTGTGTAGTGTTGTTGAAAGTAGTGTTGTTCATTAGATACTACATTTTTGGAACCCACATTCAGTATTTACTACATTTAATTACCGATACTGGTATACAGTAAATAGCCTGGGTTACCGAGGATTCAGAAAAATTATTTCCAGTCCCATCATGTCAAAAAACCTCAGTGGAGTCAGTCCCTTTAAATCAATGAAGACATATGTTTATTAAGACGTCATAACTTAAAAAAATATTCACTGTATTATTGGTTTTGATATAGCCTCAACAATGAAAATAAAGATTTTCTCTGAAACCTGTTACCTTTAGGGTATCTCTACATATTGATAATTGTACTGGAAAGGTCAATATAACATCTATATTACATAGAACATCTGCATGTAACACCAAACTGTAAAACCCTGTAATCAGTGACATCACATTATCTATAATGTCCTTTTTCCCTATTGATCAACACTGGGATGTAACAAATCTGTGTATGCATGTAAATGTTTACTGTTCTTGCATTGAATTATCATGTATGTTCAAAACTCAGGTCTGCAAACAATTCAAGGTTGCACCCAGACACACAACCTGAGTCCTCCTTCTCAAACAACTTCTTAACACACAGCTAATCTATTACATCATTAATCCATTATCACTGGTCAACTCTTGTTTTAGAAATTCAAGGCCCACAAAAGTAAAAGTAAACTCAAATCTGAGTGTATTTAATCAATAACTCAAGATGACCTCCCTATACCAGCAAGCATTACTTTCATATACCATTGCACTATTGCATGTTGTTTTATTAGACAATTAAAACAGGCGTCAAGATACAACATGCGACATAGTGCCAACAGTAAAGAGATAATATACAATATTTTTTTTAAATGTTAAGTAAAGTTATTTAATGATACTAGATTTTTTAGTTTCTTGAAATGTTTTAAGAAACCAAAATTTCTCTTGTCGATTAAATTCCTCTACTATTATAAATACTGTAAAGTAATGTCATCAAGTGCATTACAGTACAATCACTATTACTTGATCTATAAGGTCATTGAAATACCATGCACAGTGTAATACCATAGTAAAACACCATAGTGGGGAAATTAGTTTGGAAAAACCCAAATTTTCAGAGTTCCGGATAACATCTATTTAATTCTATCATATCTTAAGGTAGATCCAGCACTCTTAGCTTTTCTACTGGTCATTAAAATATTACTGTTTAGTGATGTTTATTCTCCCACATGTTTAAACAAGTATATATAAGTATAAATTGTTAAATCTCCCACACGTTTAAACAAGTATATATAAGTAATAACAGTATATCTGTGACATTAAAACAAATCTTGTTTGATATTACTAGTATGCATTCTTCAATGTCACCAGTGCAACACTATTCTCTAAATATCAAAATCATAGAAAGAATACATTTTAACCTTGACCCTGTTAAATTATTAAATAATGTAATGGATGGTTTTAATATTAGAAAACCTCTATAATGAAATTTTAAAACTGAGTAACAAAACAGACTGTTGGCCTTGGCATTAAAGCTGCATGCCTCCAGATGAGCAAAACTATTTTAATAAAATCAAACTTGAGAAAAATGTACTAAGATTTTAGGAAAAGTAAAAATATTCAAGATTCAAGTAATAATTTACATGTTATGTGCGATTAATGACTGATTTTCCAGTATTTATTACTATATTTCTACTGCGTTACTTATGCAGTAAGGGCTATTTGTGCATATTTTGTCCTCTTTTAATTTGTTGTAAGTTGTAAGTGCCATTGATAATGTATAATATGCTTCCTTTTGGTTATTTCACTAAATAATTTTTTTTATACACATTTAAGTCTCACTATAGCTTCTAGCATGTAGAGTGTTACAAAATTGAAGTCAATGTGTTTTCTGATTGTTACATAAAAATATAAAATGAGCCGCGTCATGACAAAACCAACATAGTGCGTTTGCGACCAGCATGGATACAGACCAGCCTGTGCATCCGCGCAGTCTGATCAGGATCCATGCTGTTCGCTATCACTTTCTCTACCCATTATGTTGGTTTTGTCATGGCATGGCTCAAATATTGTAAGTGATTAATTTAACAAGAGGGCCATGATGGCCCTGAGGTCGCTCACCTGTATATAGCCCCCCCCCCCCCCGGGCCAATTTTTACCCAAGGGCTTTTATTTGTTTATTTGAACAGACTTGGTAGACACCCATAAGAAGATGTTTCATGCAAAACATCTAAGTTCTAGCTCATTGGGTTTTTTAAAAGAAGATTTTTTAAGTTTTTACTATACACATATAGTTAAAAACAATGACACCCCTCGGGCAGGGCCAGTTTTGACCCCTGGGCTTTTATTTGAACAAACTTTGTAGATATTTACTTAAAGATGTTTCATGCTTAATATCTAAACTCTAGCTATTTGGGTTTTTTCAAAGAAGATTTTTAAGTTTTTGCTATACACATATAAGGAAAATCAATGACCCCCAGGGCGGGGCCAGTTTTGACCCCAGGGCTTTTATTTGAACATACTTGGTAGACACCCATTAGAACATGTCTCATGCTAAATATCTTAGCTCTAGCTCTTTGGGTTCTTTAAAAGAAGATTTTTTAAGTTTTTACTATATGCATATAGGGAAAATCAATGACCCCCTGGGGCGGGGCCAATTTTGACCCCAGGGCTTTTATTTGAACAAACTTGGTAGACATTCACTAGAAGATGTTTCATGCCAAATATCTAAGCTCTAGCTCTTACGGTTCTTTAAAAGAAGATTTTTTAAGTTTTTACTATATGCATATAGGGAAAATCAATGACCCCCTGGGGCTGGGCCAATTTTGGCCCCAGGGCTTTTATTTGAACAAACTTGGTAGACATTCACTAGAAGATGTTTCATGCCAAATATCTTAGCTCTAGCTCTTTGGGTTCTTTAAAAGAAGATTTTTTAAGTTTTTAATTTATGCATATAGGGAAAATCAATGACCCCCTGGGGCGGGGCCAATTTGGACCCCAGGGCTTTTATTTGAACAAACTTGGTAGACATTCACTAAAGGTGTTTCATGCCAAATATCTAAGCTCTAGCTCTTACAGTTCTTTAAAGAAGATTTTTTAAGTTTTTACTATATGCATATAGGAAAAATCAATGACCCCCTGGGGCCGACCCAATTTTGACCCCAGGGCTTTTATTTGAACAAACTTGGTAGACATTCACTAGAAGATGTTTTATGCCAAATATCTAAGCTCTAGCTCTTACGGTTCTTTAAAAGAAGATTTTTTAAGTTTTTACTATATGCATATAGGGAAAATCAATGACCCCCCAGGGCGGGGCCAATTTTGACCCCAGGGCTTTTATTTGAACATACTTGGTAGACATTCACTAGAAGATGTTTCATGCCAAATATCTAAGCTCTAGCTCTTACAGTTCTTTAAAAGAAGATTTTTTAAGTTTTTACTATATGCATATAGGGAAAATCAATGACCCCCCGGGGCGGGGCCAATTTTGACCCCAGGGCTTTTATTTGAACAAACTTGGTAGACACTCACTAGAAGATGTTTCATGCCAAATATCTAAGCTCTAGCTCTAAGGGTTGTTTAAAAGAAGATATTTAAAGACTTTTCTTTCGGTTGCCATGGCAACCAGGTGAGCTAAAAAAAAAAAATGCATAATCAAGAGAAAAAAAACAAGCATTTTAGTTTGTCTATAATTACAAAAGTAAACAATAACACTAAATCATCATAACTTCCTTATTGAAAAAAGTTACATAATTTATTGATAAAAAAAGTATAATATCATTTATTATAATATGGGCCGATGTCAAAAAATAAATAATAAAGGTGCAGTGCATGTGCTTACAGACCAATCACATAAATTATCAACATTTTATCTTTTTCAAGACATAAATATAACAAACTTTTTTTAAATTTGGGAAAAAAAATCTCAATATGATTTTAATAGTGATGTTCTTCTGTATACAGTGAAATCTGACAAACAACCAAGCTGGCTGACTTTACCCTAGAAACGTAAGAAAAATACAATTTACAAGGCCTTAATTAAATTCCTATAAAATGGTATTAACCCTTAATATGCTAAAAATTTCTTACATAAACTTGCCCAGCTTCCATTTTGGGACTGTCCATTATCAATTTTAGGGATATCTAGATGAAAATTTAAAAGGATTTGTAAGAATGCCAGGCTTTTTACTGGAGGCAAAGGCTGATCACCCCTATAATTTCAGTAGAGTAAAATTTAATAAAGGTAAAGAAAAAACAGGTTTTACTATAACTGATCAAACAGCTATTGACCAAGCAATGATATACTGTCAGATAACAAATAAGGGACTGTTTGAATAACTGCACGTAAAACATTAGCATATCTAATTGTCTCATCACAGCTGTCAAACTAGATGTGTTTAATTAAACAGCAGCTGAACTTTTCCAATGTCTCCCTGCCACATACATGTATATGCATAAAATTTTATAATTCTTTTGTGACATTTTTCAGTTACTAATGATGTATACAAAATAAATGAAAAATATCTGAACATTACAAATACAGTCATGTAATACAAAATACGTGTCACTATTGATAATTCAATACATTTTCTGATTAAAGTTTCTTGCCATCGCATGATACATGATATCGTAAAACAGAAATAGGTGTAATGAATTATATATGACATTGATTTGAAAAAAAAGGAAGCAATGAACTTAACAGAGTGGATTACAGTTATTTATTTGTTTTGTTGGGTTTTAAGTGACACTATTAACAATGCTATATTGGTAGAGAAAGCCCTCAGGTGCCCCATTCCCGCATGTTTCAAGTACTAAGTGTAAGAGAAGAAGCACTAGAGCAGTTTGTTTATCTTTTACAAAAAATTCAATGCATGTTCAAGGTTTCATTTTTATCTGAAGCAACAGATGTGCTTTCTAAAAAGAACTGATTTAGCAAGGGGTCAAGGGGATTGTTTTAATCTACAGGCTAAAAATACAACTGATTTTTAACGCATTTTAACTGATAATATTAAAATAATTTAATATTTAACATAAATCTGGTATATAAAAGTAACACCCTGTATTTATGTTTATTTTTCACTGTAGTGACTTCGAATTTATTGGTATTTAAGTGTGCAACACCCTGTGTTAATGTTGACATTTTTACCCCTATCTCTTACCATTATTTTCATCGGATCTCTGTGGGTGACAGTTCAACTCACTAGGTTCACCGTGAGTGGCCCATCTTGTGTGCGCTATACCACAGTGTATATCATATGCTTTTGTGCCAGATATACCATTCTCTTCTGAAAATACATATCAAAATCATCCGTAAAAGTTTAAAAACAAAAAAAAATAATTTCAAAATGATGTTTAATAGTATGTTCACTCTTCCATTGTACTCCCCCCCCCCCCCCCCACCCAACACACCCACCACCTAAAACAAACTAAAAACCAACATCCTCCAAGGAAAAGGCTAAAAGCATAATCTTTAAAGAAAATGTGAGTTATGAAATAATTTAAAACATGCCAATGTTATAATAACACAATAGAAATCGAACAAGAAAATTTTGAATGTGACTATAAATTCATACTGAAATGGGGCAATAAAGATATGAATATATTGTAACTCTACCAACAGATTAAAAATTTTTTACTAAAAATTACAAAAATATCATTTTCTGTAAAGCCATTAAAATGCACACATTAACAAAATTATTGTAATTTTTAAAAAAAATTAATTCTTTTGTTAAGATTTGTAAACACTGTTGTAAATATTTTGGTATGCTATCAATTTACAAAGTTACTTTACAATATAAACTATTAATATAACATTAGCTTATATATCTATAACGGAAGATCGTTGCATATCAATAATTTCTTTTATTCAAGAGTGTAATTTGATCCAATCAGTCGAGCCATGCACAATCTAATCAAAAGAAAAACACACAAGCTATTTTTTTTTCTTTACAATTTTTTTTAACAAATATCTCGGGTACAAAAAATCGAGGAACTTCCTGGTCGTAGATAAAGGCAAAGTGCATGACAATTGGCAATCAGGCCTGAGGGGGATTTCTTTCCGCCAAGTTTTATGTTTGTTAAATTGAATATAATGCAAACAGGAACTGCCAGGGTGCTTTGTAAGCAAATATATGTAAATATCATAAAGTATTTAATTATGATATACGTCATTGAACAGTTGAAATTTGAAGTGTATTCTCCAATGACATTACTATTTTTGTCATAAAAGACCTTGTTATTTTCTTTTTTTTTTGCCTATTACATTTACATATTTGTTTTATAATGTCTTCCTGGTTAACAACTATAAAAGAAAAAAAATTGGGTGCAGCCCAAAATAAAAAAAATCCCAAAGTCATGCCATTAATCATAAATAATATATCAAACTTCCTACATTGACAACTTAAAAAAATATCAAAGCAATGGTACAGACGGATACGGTAAGTAGCCTCAGATTAAAGAAGTCTGACTTAATCAAATGCAAGGCATCTTTTGATGCTAATCATTCTAAAAGTTCAGTAACAGAATGTAAGAATCCAGCTTTTACTGGTGAAAGGAGCATTTATTAGTCAGGTGACCCTCTGTCCATTATAGCAGCCAAGTGAGTAGAACGGCAGTTGAACATTGAACTTCTATAAGCTGACAGGATTCTTAGATTCCTAACATCAAATGATATAATGTCCCTGGCCAGATACAAACTCACAGTGGTGATGGGCATAAGTGACATCATAATTATTTCTTCTTAAATCATTTTTTCTCCAAAATAATATACCAACACATCAAAAGATAGTGCAACCAATGCAGACCATTCTGTCTGATCATGGTCAGACAAAACACATTAAAGCTTCGCATGCTATAAAAATAATAAACAGTAATTTTCTCATATTACATTAATTACTCTGTCAAAATGGAGAGACTGTGAATGATCTGAAATTTTTGGACAAAAGTTATTGGTTAAGACTTATATTAATGTTACATAATAGTTGGGAAAAAACATTTCATTTCCCATCATGTAAAAAAACCTCAGTGGAGTCCTTTTAAGGTAAAATAACACCACACCTTATTGAGATTTTTTTTTTTTATATATCATTCTATATAATTTGTTAAAGAAAATATAGCACCTGTCTTTTCTAAAATGCAGGTATACTATATAGCTTAAAAATGTTAACTATTAGCTTTAATTTTATTAGTATATAAGACAGTATCTTTAAAGCACTTTATCAGCTGAAAAAGGTGTTTTCAATCTTTTTCTTCTAATGTATCAGCTAATTCATTTAAATGTTATTATTTAAACATATTTACAGATAAAGCAGTCAGAAATGAAGTTTTTTTTTATTGCTCTGTATTATACACCCATGTGATAATATTACAATTAAGTGTACATAATTATGTTGTTTGAAAGATAAATCAAGTGGTAAATACAGTTCTCGCCCATCTCTTTTTGTTCATCCTTGTGATATAATTCTTTGCATCCGAACTCCAAACAGTGATTTTATTAGGCTTCTATCGATCCTGGGGATATTTCAAACCAAACTCATCAACAAATAAATTCTGCCGTACCTGAACTAAATTGTGCCTGATTTGTTTCCATTCTTATTTTCATTTTTATTTTTATTAATATGCCAAATGTCTAAATGTAGATCATCAACAGTTATTTTATTGCATATTAATTTTACAAACTACACTAATCTATGTTCAATAGGGATAAACGTGTGTCTTGTTACAATATAAATTAGTTTCTATAATCAAAATGCTGAAAAATTTGAAAATAAGCAGGCAGACATACATATAGCCTTAACCTTTTAACCTGCGGAAATTTAAAGTGGTTAGCCTTTGCCACTAGAATTGAGCCAGGCTCATATAGTCTGACCTGACTTTAACTAGGTAGCTCAATCTTAAATTTTAGTTAAACTTAAAATGCATTGCTCTAAATTCCAAACATGGCAACTCCGCCATTACACAAACTCAGCAGGTTCCAGTTTTTTTTTCAGACTGCACATTTGGATCAGTAAGCTGACCTGAGCCCTTAGAGATACCCATCTTACAGGCAAGTCATGCGTGTCACTGGCATTTACGTTTAATTTATTCAATTTTTTATCTTTGAATTGTTTTAAGATACAAAAATTTTTTTTTTCCATTATGAATAATTTTAGTCAGACCTTGCAGATAAAGGAGTTATGCTTGTTTTTTGTTTGTTTGTTTCATTTTATGCCTTTACCAAACATATAGGGGGTAGTTTCCTAACCATCGTTCCTGGAGAGTTACAACAGTACTAGACTACCTTTCCTCCGCGCTAAACAACCAAAGCATCTCCCGGGGATCGAACCCACACCAGAGAGGTAACTGGATTAGAAGTCATCGACTCTAACCCCTCGACCACGGTGGCAGTAGGAGTTATGCAGGAGATGAAATACATGTATAACTTTTAGCTTTTTCAGAGATCAACATCACCATCTGTGGCATAAAGCAGCTTGTTCAGTATCAATAAAACAGTGTAATTGCCTGTAATAGCATATTTCATAGCATATATTTCATTACACAGATTATGGCTTTTGTCATTAATAGAAGGCTATGACAAATCTGTATAGAGTATTTATTGACAAAATACATGTACAGCTAGTATAAATTTCTTTTATTCTGACAAGCTATACAAAAACCTGAATATGAAGTAAAACTCTATATATGAGCATCCGCGCAGTCTGATCAGGATCCATGCTGTTTGCTATCAGTTTCTCTACTTGTTATAGGGTTTGTAAGCGAACAGCATGGATTCTGATCAGACTGGGCGGATGGGCAGGCTGGTCTGGATCCATGCTGGTTGCAAACCCATTATGTTGGTTTTGTCGTGACGCGGCTCAAATAAGCCAGTCTCTTATTAAGTAACAATAATATCAAAGGTCTGAATTCTATTGGCAGTAAAGTATATACTATTAGCATATGGAAACAGACAAGCGTCTCACTCGGACTGCAGAAACGTAAGCCAATTAATGGAAAGATTCGCCTTGTGGTAACAGTACTGTGTCTGCCTCTCAGCCAAAGGATGGGGGATTCAAGGCTTACTGGGGCAATGACCATGTTTTCTCATAAGACAGTATAACAGGTGTGTTCAAGGAATGAGATTCTAGAAAGGTTCTTTTAAACTATATGTTTTTTAACAAAAATGCTTAACATAATTAATGTTTTGACACTATAAGCAGCCCTGACTAATAATATTATTTACAAGGTGGTTGTTATAACAATACAATACATGTATGTGTAAAACTTAAACAGTTTAAATAATTACATTTATGAATTTATGTGACTAAATAATACCACTTGATATTCATTATGAGTTTAACAGTATTAAATTTAGTAGGAAATGGGAAGTGGAAACTTAATATTATTATAATAGTATTTAGATAGGGAAGTCTTTTTGCTCTTCCTGTATGTAACAAACTAGAAAGATAATCCTATTTTCTCTGAAGTGATCCATTAAATAGACAGCATGACTTTGTGTTATTGAAATCATAAAATGGTTACGGCAGATAAATTAACAAAAAAATATGTAAGCGTTAAAATTGTTTTTGAAATTATGGAAGATTTGTTGAAAATAATGAAGTAACCTCGGTTAAGCACAGACTAAGGATGGTCCATGTTTGAAATTTTTGACAGAAGGTACTTTACTAAAGGGTAATATCAGCATGAGGAATTCATTTTGTTATCTTTCCTCTTCATGAGAAAATTTATTAAAGTTATTTCACTTCTTTTTGAAATTATTTATAGGAGCTCAGCTGAGGTCCAAGATCTGTAAATATAAGATTTGATAGTGGAACTTTAAATAGAAAATTTGGAAAAAAATTAACGTAACATAAATAATTAAAAAAAAATAAAATAATTAACAAACATACTCAGAATTAAATTAAAATGTAGTGTGCTTCTGAGCCTGTTTAAACTGGCTTTACAAAATAAGCTTGCACCATCAAAATCATTATTTTAGAAAAAAGAAGTGAGCAAATGATCTGAAATGTTGCACACTAGTTGTTGGTATAGACCTAAATAAAATGGAATACTAGTAATAATCTCAAACAAGAGCTGTCAGTAGGACAGCAACGCTCGACTATTCTTAGTGCTTGATAGTAAAAAAAATGCTTGATACAGTTACCTCCTCCTGTTAACAGGTTGGGGTCATGATGGTGAACAAGTGTGCAAAGTTTCAAAGCCATATGTCAATGGACTTTGAAAATATTTGAACTATTACAAAAACTTTAACATAAATTCTAAGTCGAAAAAGGGGCATAATTCTGTCAAAATGCTTGATAGAGTTACCTCCTCCTGTTTACAGGTTGGGGTCATGATGGTGAACAAGTGTGCAAAGTTTCAAAGCCATATGTCAATGGACTTTGAAAATATTTGAACTATTACAAAAACTTTAACATAAGTGGTTACGCCGACGCCGACGCTCGGGTGACTGCAATAGCTCTACTTATTCTTATCGAATAGTCGAGCTAAAAAACAAAAACATTTCAAATCCAGTCATGTTTATTGTTAAAAAAAACTCGGTGAAGTCCCTTAACCATCCCCTTATCAAAAGTTTGAATGAGTCAAAGGCTACCAATTTCTAAGTAAACATCGTAATATTCCACTAAAAAACTGAAAAAAGAATAATGAATCAACAATGTAAGAACAGGTGTTTAACTGAATATAGGGGAAAAAAGAAGAGAGCAGTTTCCTAGAAGCAGGGGTAAAGTCTTTTGTGTCTCACAGCAAGTTTAACTATTGTCATTGATAAAAGAAGAGAAATGACCTAAAGAACAACCATGAGGAAAACTTATTGTAAAATAAAGTTTATTGGGAAGGATGAGATCTTAACAGATAAAGACTTCTTTATGAAATCCTTATCATGTACAGTAAATCAAACAGTATCAAATTTTGAGGAAAACTTTAACCAAGGTTTTATGCAATACAATAGCCATAGTTATATTACAGGTAATACATTAATGACTTCTAAAGAAGTGTCAAATAATATAAAATTATTTACTGAATAAATAAACTGAATAATTCATGACTGTGACAAGTGGAATTATCTTGTTGCTTAACAATTATTTAACCAATGCTTAGGTTTCAAATTTAAAAAAAAAATATATATATATTTAATACAGGGAATTCTTCATTTCATGTTTTATGTTATCATTGAAATTTCAACCTTCGAAACTGTCCGCCGTTTGTAATGTTTAATATAAAGTTTATTGCGTTTTATCTAAAACCCATAATACATGTATGTTGAATATAACAAAGAGTTTGGTCATTTAAAAAAAAAATCTCCTCGAGACACTTCTTAACATCCTTTTTGACCATGCCAACTTTTACTTACTACATGTAATGATAGGTCTTTAAGATTATAATATCTAAAGAGAAATTCTTTAACATTATACACTACACTTTAATTTTACTTGGTCTGCAGAAAAACTTACTTTGTAGTTCTCCCTCTAGACTGGCTACTTTGCCCCTTTTCTTCACTGTTTTTAACGTACATTTTTTGTCACTGCACTCAGAGGAATCAAATGCTACACCTGTAATACAAAGCAGTTAAAATGTAATTATGTCACTGTATAGAACTGTCTACTTGGTAGAAAAGGTGTGAGTGGCTAGCTCAGATGGTGAAGCTGCTGTACAGTATTTTACCAGTTTTTAGTAAGAAATTCCGGTCTCACATTTTTTTTTTATTCTGTCCATCTTTTAAGCCTTTATTTTGCTCCAGCATTAAATTACAAACTGTGCATTATAAAGTGATCAATGTAAATATCAAAACAATATACCATCCAGCATTTACAGTGAGCCTAATGAGTGGCAAATTAAATGACCAAATACACTTTTCCCATTCTATCATTGCACTTTTTGCATGAAAGCACAATAAAGTAAGGGGGGAAACAACTAGATAAGGTGCAACAAGTCTTATAAAGTACAAAATAAAGACTGTATGAATAAAAGAAAGTAGTACCTGCAGAGTCGTAGCCCCTGTATTCCATACGCTTCAAGCCTGTAATGAGGATCTCTAGGATCTCTTTCCTTGTAGCAGGTACCAGGTAGTTGAGGTATGCAAATATACCTGAAAAATACAATCATTCTTATTAAAAAATAGCTCAAAGTCAAAAATCTAAAGGCTGCGAGAAGCATTAAATAAACCTGAGAAATTGATACACCTGAAATAGTTATGTGTTTAAATATTCTGCTAGGTCTTAATGCTAAACTGACATTCAATTTGCATCCTGCTCCGTATCGACCACTGGGGACTGTGAGCCTGCTAGTGCTAGAGGCAACAGATTCTACACATGCCATCGGTGCCATCTGATTATGGTCTGCACTGTTCACTATTAGAATTATCACTAAAAATAATGAATGTTTTTGTCCTGACTGAAAGATTGGTATTATTCTGTGCTATTTAGAGTGGTAAGGGTTAAAGAGAGAAATTAAAAAAAATTAACAGCTTAGTGTCAGTTAAATAATTTACTGTGTCTAAGGTCAGACTGCATGGATATTACACAGTCTGGACACACAAATCATTTAACATAGCAACCACCTTCAAACGGTTATTAAATAATTAATGTATATGCATGTTAACACTAAATATAATGATGATTTTGAAAAGATAATGTATAAAAACAAACTTATATAAACTAAATAAAAAATACATTACATAATTATGCATGTGCATCTAAAGAAAGAATGTAAATTATATGAACAGTTATAAAATGTAATTTACATAAACGCAGTTTAAAATTGATACGTATATCAAAGTATACTAAGTATGTGTAAAATTATGTTTTGCTATATTAAAGTGAAAATAAAATAAGTTTTGCATAATTTTTGTATAATTATATTAGTTGCTTAGTCAGCAATGTAAACTTACAATCTATTTCTAAATCACGAGGACTGGATGATCATAATTATGTTGTTACCATTATCATATTCAACATTGAAATAACATGAGCCGCATCACGACAAAACCAACATAGTGCGTTTGTGACCAGCATGGATCCAGATCAGCCTGCAAATCCGCGCAGTCTGATCAGGATCCATGCTGTTCCCTTACAAACCCTATAACAAGTAGAGAAACTGATAGCGAACAGTATGGATCCTGATCAGACTGCGCGGATGCGCAGGCTGGTCTGGATCCATGCTGGTCGCAAACCCATTATGTTGGTTTTGTCATGGCGCGGCTCAAATAATAATATTTCAGTGCATATTGTAGTGTATATTTATAGTATGCCTGCCATCAAAGAATATAATTGAAATCGCTGTCTCCTGTCTTGCAAGCATATACAATTCAATGTGTACCCCGTTGGCGATTACAAGCACATGTTACATCCGAACACTGCACCTTTCTTGGGAACTTATATATTTTAACTTGAAGTTTTCTTGCAATATTAAGAAGTACACTTGCTTATATACTGTGTGCAATTAACTTTCCTGTCATTTGAGTAAAATTTTCTTTTCTTTTGTACTTCAATTAAATTTTGATTCAGCATGCCAGAAAGTAAAGTATTCAAACAGTGAGGACCTCCAAACAAATAAACAGTCTCAGACTCTCAGTTAACCCTTAACCTGCTGCCTTGTGGCATTGAATCTACTCATGCACGACCAGTGCAGACCTAGATCAGCCAGCTCAAGGTCATGATCATGTTCTGTTGTGTTTGCTATAAATCCAGAAAATATTTCTGAAAAATTTGCCTTAAAAATCTGAATGGTTTTGTCCATATTGAAAGATGGACAAGTCTATTTCAGATATTTAGCATGGGAAAGGCTTAAGTAACAATTTATTATATTACAACACATTAGCATAATTATATAGACTCAGCCAGTAGGTAAAGTCTGGAATACAATAGAAAGTTAAATCCCTCTCATCTTTTATAATATTTGAAAACAAGCTGATCACAACTGTAAACAACAGTTACCTTAAATATTTAGTGAAGATAAATTCAAAATGGCATCAGGATAAAAGAGAAACCATAAATTTTATTCAAAATGAAAGGAGAAATGTTAGATGTAAGGTCAACTATATGACATAGGTAAAATGTACACAACACAGAATATTTACATTATAATGTTTTTGTTTGTTTGTTGGATTGAAAGTCAAACAAGTGCATAACAGAATATAATAGTAAATCTCATTGTTATTCAAATTTTAAACTTAGGAACCATTTTTATTATTTAGTTTAAAACCTGAGAGCAAAACCTGAAGTTGAAGTACTGTCCTGAGTGGTAAGCCAGCTTGCTACGTGCCACGGTGGCTTTAACTCAAACAAAAACCAAAATCATAAGGAGTCACTAGAAGTATAATTAAATTACTAAGGACATATAACACCAACAGGTGCTAATATTTTACCCCTTCACAAACTTAATTATGGGCCATTTCATCATCTGGTCTGATGTCAAAACAATTTTTTTTTCACAAAGCAGCTTTTGAGCAAACAGGAAATTTTTATAACCCCAACAGGAACTCAGAAAATATCTCACGAAATAAATTTACAGTTATTTCAATTCAATTTATAATTAATAATTTGATTTCAGAAAAGTACACATTCTTTTCAAATTCAGTTGATAAAACAGGCTCATTTTTTCAGTGTGATTAAATTTCTCAATCAATAATGCTTGATTTTTACTCTGCATGTAACCATCTTACCAATTTTAAAAATTCTCCTATTTTTCACAGTTCTGATCAAGAACATTGCATGGTAAGAGCTATAATACACTTATGCCAGCTAATAATGAATGGCAAGCCAGCAACTTATAGTGAGGTAACAATGAATTGCCGGTGAGGTAAATTATAACCAATTGCAAGTAAATTTCAAATGGTTTCAAGTCGCTATCGCTCCCGTCGAAGTTTCTAATTTCTGTAGAACAGCACGGATGAACACTAACATATACATGGTAAGGTACTAAAGCAACTGCCAGCAAATTATAAATAGTGAGGTAGAAATTAATTTCCAGCAACTTCTAAATGATGAGTTAGCAATTAATTGCCAGCAAATTATAAATAGTGGGGAGGCAATAATTGCCAGCAACTTTTAAATGTTGAGTTAGCAATTAATTGTCAGCAAATTATAAATAGTGGGGAGGCAATAATTGCCAGCAACTTTTAAATGTTGAGTTAGCAATTAATTGTCAGCAAATTATAAATAGTGGGGAGGCAATAATTGCCAGCAACTTTTAAATGATGAGTTAGCAATTAATTGTCAGCAAATTATAAATAGTGGGGAGGCAATAATTGCCAGCAACTTTTAAATGTTGAGTTAGCAATTAATTGTCAGCAAATTATAAATAGTGGGGAGGCAATAATTGCCAGCAACTTTTAAATGTTGAGTTAGCAATTAATTGTCAGCAAATTATAAATAGTGGGGAGGCAATAATTGCCAGCAACTTTTAAATGTTGAGTTAGCAATTAATTGCCAGCAAATTATAAATAGTGAGGTAGAAATTAATTTCCAGCAACTTATAAATGTTGAGTTAGCAATTAATTGCCAGCAAATTATAAATAGTGAGGTAGAAATTAATTTCCAGCAACTTTTAAATGTTGAGTTAGCAATTAATTGCCAGCAAATTATAAATAGTGAGGTAGAAATTAATTTCCAGCAACTTATAAATGTTGAGTTAGCAATTAATTGCCAGCAAATTATAAATAGTGGGGAGTCAAATGCCAGTAAATTATAAATGGTGAGGTAGCTAGGCATTATTAATTTACAGGATAATTTAATGGAATGAAAATTTAAAGTTAGTCAACAGTAACGAGCCTGATCAGCCTGCATGGGTGTGCAGTCTAGCCTGAATCTACCCAAAGTCTTATCACTTTAATATGTTCCATTGGGGTAATTGTTAAAAAAAAATTACATGCTATAACATAAATAGAACTTTAATCATTACTGTAAATTTCACTATCATTTTAGCTTTCAATAATTTTTTTTTCAATTTAAAATTAAAATCGTAATATATTTATATAAAATTTATTCTACAATTTAATTGATAAGTTAGAGCAGAAATGTAGATGGAACATATAAAGACGGATCATGAACTAACCTCCCATTTCAGCAAAACATCCAGTATCCCTCATTACTCAGCTGTTTTTATTTTTCTATGCTACAGATAAATATAATTCTGATGCAATAAACCCCATAAAAGGAATGTCCAACTGAAAGCAATGCACACTATGTTTTGAATAAAACTTCTAGTTGACCTTTTTTTCCAAGAAATTACCGGTATTTTATAGACTCAAGACTTATTTTTGAATAAATGAATATAATCATAATTCAAATCTTTTTATTCTCGTTTTTTCCCCAAAAAGTAAAACTTTAATGTTTTCCTCAAAGTAGTTTTTCCTTCAAGAGCAACATTGCATGAATTTTCAGAAAAATATCTACATCAAAATCTTATCTAAAACCTTTTTGTGCAGAAAAGTAAACGATACAATAAAGAACTATAATCAATATCATTCTGCTTCATTAAACTTCAAACAATCCTTTTAAAAGAAAAAAATATTCATTTTTCATTCCAAACTTCCTGATTCAGGTATAAAAGGTGCAAAACAATAATCTACTACTAAATAATGCTTAGATTATAGATACAAATTATAGGAAATACTATCTCTTCCTGGTCTAAAAATCCAGTTATGCAAGAACCAGTTATGCAAGAACAGTATCAATTTTGGGGTTTAAAGAGATAATTAATACACAAGACTCGGATCTGTATAAAAATTCCATTATTTCGGCCCCAAGTACACAATACAAGATTTTGCAGAAAGCTGCCAAATTGCAGTCCTTGAAAACCACAATCTTTAGTAAAATTCTGTTAGTAACTGCATGCTAATTTTGTATTGTCATGCAAGTCAATCAGGCCACAGTCAGAGGTGGAGGACCAATAATTTAAGACATAATTTGAGCCACGCCATGACAAAACCAACATAATGCATTTGCGCCCAGCATGGATCCAGACCAGCCTGCGCCTCCGCAGTCTGATCAGGATCCATGCTGTTTGCTTACAAACCTGATCAGACTGCGCGGTGCGCAGGCTGGTCTGGATCCATGCTGGTCGCAAACACACTATGTTGGTTTTGTCATGACGCGGCTCATTATTATGTTGTCAGCCTATTTAATACCGCAGCCGAAAAGACAAGTGCATTGTAACCTGAAAAACTAAGGTAAGACAAACCCAAGGTTGGCACACATGGTACTCCCTCCTACTGAGCTTTCAAAATACAGCTGATCAACAAGCCATTAAATAAAAATAGTTTTAAATGTATTAAAGTATGAACATATTTTTTCTCAATCATTTTAACTACATTAAAATTAATAATTTTCTCTATAAACATAATTATATAATCATATCATAAATGAAAAAATACATGTACAGGCATAAAGTATGTGCTATTTTACATGCACATAATGAATATTTTCTTGTTGGTTTTTTTTTAATCGTTTTTGGTCATTTAAATTCATTGCAATCCCTGTTGTTACTGACTTAACTAAATTTTAAAAGTCATACCATATTTATTGCTGACATGACTGGTTTCACAAACCCTGATTGCTCCAGTAAGATTATTTCAAATGCATTAATAAATCTCTAAACTTAAATCAAAATTGACACACTAAACTATAAATGTTCACTGATTTTTTTTTAACAAACTAATTTATATTTGATAAAAATTTACAAAAAAGAAGCAAAGATTCTGGTTTATTACCAAGTTAATGAAAACCACAACTTTTCTCATTTCATATATCACGTAGCCCATTTAATTAAGCACTTCAGTTGATAAAACATATGCTTAGCAACATGCAATTTCATTAAAATAACTCAAATTAATCTTGCAGAAATTGACAGAAATATATTCAGAGTTTTAAATTTACAGAGTTCTATTTCAAATCCATTCTTTTTAATGAAATGTTACAATGGGACAGTGGAGAGTGGCTATTAGGAACTTACATATATCTTATTTTCTTACATACACTGATCCTCATTTAAGTGAATTATGCTCTTCACTGAAGGCGAATATCACACTTAAAGGCCCATAATGCCCTAAAAAGTAAAGAGGGCGAATATCACACTTACAGGCCCATAATGCCCCAAAAAGTAAAGAGGGCGAATATCACACTTACAGGCCCATTATGCTCCAAAAAGTAAAGAGGGCAAATATCACACTGAAAAGCCCATATTATGCCCCAAAAAGTAAAAAGGGCGAATATCACACTTAAAGGCCCATTATGCCCCATAAAGTGAAGAGGACAAATATCACACTTAAAGGGCCCATAATGCCCCAAAAAGTAAAGAGGGCGAATATCACACTTAAAGGCCCATTATGCCCCAAAAAGTAAAGAGGACAAATATCACACTTAAAGGGCCCATAATGCCCCAAAAAGTAAAGAGGACAAATATCACACTTAAAGGCCCATAATGCCCCAAAAAGTAAAGAGGGCGAATATCACACTTAAAGGCCCATAATGCCCTAAAAAGTAAAGAGGGCGAATATCACACTTAAAGGCCCATAATGCCCCAAAAAGTAAAGAGGGCGAATATCACACTTAAAGGGCCCATAATGCCCCAAAAAGTAAAGAGGACAAATATCACACTTAAAGGCCCAAAATGCGGGCGAATATCACACTTAAAGGCCCAATATGCCCCTGAAATGTTTTACTTTTGTTTCTCAAAGCTTTTTTAACCTGAAATTGTTAGTTTAAGAAAACCTGAACTCTTTGCCAATTACATGAACCATCTTTTGGTTCTGTTGCTTTTTGGCAATAAGTTAAGTTGCAGAGATTAAGTATTTTGAATGGAAGTCAAATTGCTACTTTGTTTACATTTTCCCAAATTTTTTTAAAAGGGTCTCAAAAATTTTAAAGGGTAAAATTTTTCCCCTTTCAGAAACATCTTTTTTTCCGTGGGGAAAATGCCTCTCCCATTAAACAACTTTTAAAAATTTGTTTAAAGAACTCTATTTTTTTTTAATTTTTTTTCTGGGGCCCCTTTTGGGGGCCCCTTTTAAAAAATTTACCCAAATTTTGAGAAACAAATCTAAAAATTGAAACTAACATGTATCTAAAAAGGGCATTCCCACTTTTAAAATTATTTTTGGGGCCTTTATAAATTGTGTTGGCAGTATTTTTAAAAACATTATTTTTGATTTTTTTTTTGTAGGTGCAAAAAAGGTTTTCCCAAAAAGGGAGGGACTTTTCATCAAAACAGTTAAACAGAGCTTTTTTCTCCCTTTTTAAATTTGAAAATGTTTGAAGTTCTAAACAATTGTTTTACCTTGAGATTGCTTATATGAAGCACTTCCACCTATCTTAATATATTAATGAATAATAAACTAGATTCTAAAATAAGCTTTTATAACAAAAGTTTGAGCGATGCATTTTCCAAGAAAAAAAAAAAAAAAAAAAAATGTAGGAAAAAAGCCAAATTTTTTTATCTAAAAATCAATTATATAATGTTCACATGCAGTTTCTGAAAATTACGTAGGTATATAATTATTTTCTAAAAATGAAAATGTGTGAAGATATAATGTAGATCAAGTTAACTTTTGAATGTCAATAAAAGTATCAGATAAGGCGTGCTTCAAATGAGACATTTTTGATAAAATTATAATTCATCATAAATAATTATTTAATTTCATATAAAAGTAAACATCTCAAGTTAAAAACAAACACCTGCCAGTAATAAAATGCAATATATTAAGTAAATCACTTTTAATGTAAACAAGTAAGTTGTTTGGCTAATTTTGTTTTTCCTTATAATATATTTGTTGAAGTTTTATTATATTATCAGTGCTATATGTATACTGATCGTGTCCTGCTTTGATTGTGCCAGACTGAAACAGGTTTGACACATTTCAAATAAAAATCAACAATGCCTCTGACTACTCAGTAGTGATTTCAAAGCCCCACCGCCTGTCAGAGAGCCCTCAATCAGGTTAAGCATTGAGACTTGTAAAATCTCGGGTTACCTATTGTAGGGTGGTTTATTCGGATTTCCTTAGTTGGGCCCAACTAAAAAATTTAGCTTAGGTCTTTCCCGTATGCATACTTCTGGAACTTCAATCGAGGTCCCCCTTTATATATGAGTGCTTTAAAAACACTTGGCCCACATTAAAGAAACCAGGGGAAGCTTTTTGCAGAAAGATTTGGGGTCATCTTTCGGTTTCTAAATTTTGGGGCATTTTTCCCCTTCCCCCCTAAATTTTTTAAAATAAAACTAGATCCCTTCTTCCCTGGGGGAAATTTCGCCCAAAATTGGGGCGGGGGGGCGATAAAAAAATAGACTCAAAAAAACAAACAGCTTTTAATACGGTTTCCCCTAAAAATTTCCCTTTTGCACTTTCCCTTTTCCCAGTAACATTTTCGATAAAAAAATTTAAAAATAAAAGGGACAGAAAGCTGTCCTTTATAGATAGATAGTTTCTGCTATTTTTACTTTTGCTTTTTAAAAATTAATTGAAATAGAAAAATTTAAAAAATTTGTGGGATAAAATAAAAATTCTAGTTTTTTGGTTTTTAAATTTTTCAGGGTTTCCCCCACTTTGCTAGATTCACAAGGCTATATTGCCCCCCTTCAAAAAGCAGAGGTTGTTCTGAAAATTGAAGTGCAATGTATTTATATTAGTTTATACTTATTTTTTTTAGTTTGGTTGTGTAAAAAACTATAAGCTAATCGAAACACTCAAATCCATTCCTGGAACCAACCAGTACTTAAGCAATGAGTATAAAGTTTCTTGCTCATGGTATTTTTATTATCATTGCAAGCATTCTGAGAATAAATTAAAACTGGTATTCAGACATCATTCTTTTAAAGTTTTAGAGAACAAAACTGCTTTACATATTTCAATTCTTTATCACCATGCTATCACAAAAGCACACAATACTCTCACACAGATTGCCTGACAAAATAATTATTAGGATTATATTCTAATATCCATTAAAATTGATTGAGAAATGAAGTATTCTCTCCTTTGAACATGGCATAAAATACTTCATGTGAACTTTTTAAAAATTTGTTTGCCAAATAAATTTTGCCCAAAATTGTAAATTGACACTGCTTTAAGGGGGTTTAAAAAATTAAATAAAATATAAAGAGTGAAAGTTTAAAATTTTAAACGGGTTTTTAAAAATTTAGGGGGAAAAGCCCTAAATTTGGGGCCAAAAAAAAATTATTTTACAATGTCCCCAAATTTACAAGCAGGTCGCTCCACGAGAAAAAACCCCTTCCGCCTTATTATTGAACGCAAATGGGAGCCGGTGATGGTTAAAAGAACAGGGCTCTCTGTTTTTGGGTTGGTTGTTTTTGAGGCAGAATATGGGTACCATTTCCCCTCTCAAAATTTCATATGTTTTTTTTCCCCCCTTATCTCATAAAAAATCCCCTCCAAATTTTGTC